TTCGATCTCGTCGATAGCCATAATTGCTCAATGCCGACGTCAGCATGCTTTTCAAATCGGACCCTTAAGTCTTTTCGTACATAGAATGCAACACCGCCTCCCCTACCACCACGTATGTTTTGAGGGCGTGGTGCGTTACGTAGGCAATAGCCGGGAACCACTGGCGCTCGAGCCTCTTGACCTACTGGTAGCCATGTCTCATTTATCGCAACAATATCAGCTTTAAAACGATCCATTGCTATGAGAAAGTCGTCATGTCCAGTATTCAGAGAACCAGCATTATATAGTGCTAACTTAAGAAATTTAGTTTTATGATTGAATTTTACTGGTTAATAAAATACGTATATTACGATAGTGTATTAGATTTGAGAAATAATAATAATTGAGCTTAAAATACATGTGAATATTATATACAAAATAAACGGAAAAAGAACAGCCAAATAATTGAAAGAGAACATGAATTCGTACATTAGGATCCCATAAACTTTGCAACATTGCTGTGCACACACACTTACGTTTCTGCATAACACTCTTAGATACAACAAACATAACAAAAACATAAGTAGTCCAACAATTAAATATACCACAACGAGACTTCAATGAACCAATATGCTTATTTGTAGACATATTAAATAAAAATGAATCAAAAACAAAGAATAAAGAATAATAGCTATATATATGTTCCATTAAAGTTTCCATTTTGCAAATATAGCACTCTAACTGCTTATATACACTTTCCATTGTACGTACAAAATTATTATAAGATTCCCTATTGAAGAGTTTAGATAATTTAAAATATATATATAGGAAAAAAGTTTTTCTAACTGGTGTTACACAAGTTGACAAATAACTGTAATTGTACTTCATGCTGATTATACTCTTACTTATTAAAAAAATGATAAAAACAAAGTGTAAAATATGAAAATAACAAGTAAAATAGTCATCGCCAGATACGTCACTGGAAACATATCCACTCTTTAACTTAGTTAATGGCTGAAGAACGAAATGGATCTGGACCAAAAATGCGTTCGAGATCCTCCTCCGTTTTTAGGCGGAATCGCGGACAGTCATGGCCATGGAATTGACGTGCAAATATTCGACCACCTCTCGTCCACACGTAGCGCCAGTTAAGCCGCTCCGCTAATTCACGCGCTCGTCGAAACAACATCCTGTTAACTCTAGTCAATCTCTCGTTTATGTAAAACCGTCTCGGAACCCCTGGGAGGTGCAACCCCTCAGTAGTTGCACCACGGCGCACTCGAGCAGCTCTCAACAGCTCATCCCGTACTGCACGCCGTGCCAACCGCACCACAATGGTACGAGGGCGAGTAGAGGTCTCTTGGGTCGGTTTCGACGTGTCTGACTGCTGAAACTCCAACACGCGGCCCACGCGCTCCGTACTGATGACATCTTGATCGCTTATAGTAACTCCTAGCTTACTAGCCAAAGTTTTTAATATATGTGGCAGGCTTTCGCCACCGGTCTCCGGAACACAAGATATATCCAAGTCATTCAGTAAAAGGTCTTGGTCCCTTTCATTTATTTCGGCCTTTAACTGCTTAATGGACTCTGCTAGGGATTTGTTGCCAGGTTCATTATCTGTGTTTGTGTTGCACTCTAATAGAACCAAACGGTCATTGAGTTTATCAATGCGGTTTTCACATTCAGCTACCCTGCCTATGAGCGCAGACAAGGTATCTGTCATAACTTTAAGTTGTTCGCGGTTGACTCTCATATCCTCCCTCAGTTCCTCTTTAAACGATCGCATTTCAATAACAAGTGACTGGTAATCTGTCATTTCCACTGTCACATTATTGGCAGTGTCATTAAGATTCGATGTGAGTGACAGAGGCTGCTCCACTATAGACATATCGAGCTCCATAGGACTTTTTACTGCTGCTCCACGCTGCATTGTGATACTATCTACAGCAACACGAACGGGTGTATTGGTGTTATCTCTTTTGGGCTTCTTGCTAATACATTCCACACATCTCCAAGCGTCCCTGTGCTCCTTTGTGAGGGTATTATAAAAGCGCTGCTCAGAAACGTTAGCGCAAATTAAATCATAATACCCATTACAACCACCGCACAACAAATATCTTCTATCTCGAATAGTAGTTTGGCATCCATTACATATAATACTGTTAGAAGACATTTTATTATGACAAGATGAAGAAATTAAAGAAAAAACAAATTTGGCTTCGGTGGGATTTGAACCAGGGCCACCAAATGCACTGAAAGTATCAGTCAGACCACTATGCCAATAACTGATGTTTAGGTTTGTCGAAATATGTAATCTCTTGCACTTGCAATCCTATAGCGGCTAATGAACTATTGAAAGGTCAATAACTTATTAGTTCAACGCACAGTTCACTGTCACTCACAAAGCTGATTCAATTTATTTATAACGTTCACTTTTAATAACACTTTCGTCCAAAATGATATTTATCCGTGCATCACACAGTTTAAAGTTCACAATTTCAATTAGTTATTAGTATTGGAATAATATTACAGTTTAAAATTATCTTAAAATTGCAATATGATTAAGATTCGAATTAAATATAGCAGAGCAATCAAAACAGACGTGATATCGTTACCGCGTCCCGCGCGAGTGTTCCACTATGTGTTATACACTATGTTGTCTTCTTTTGGAAATTGCATTTATTTTTTTATTGTAACGTGTATATTTTTTTTATTGTGGGGTTTGGGTTATTGTCAGGTACTTTGACCTGTAGCACTGCGTCTTGCATAGATCTATTGTGCTCGCCCTTTTCAGAGTTCGCTACCTAGACGCGTCAGGGACAAGAATTGAAGGTTATTCTTAGAATCCATGATTTTCATCTCCTCAGGATAGAGTGTAAACTTTCCAAAGGAGATATTTCGTTCATGCATGAGTGGGCTACAACCACATTGTAACGTGTAAAAACACATATAGATTCTGTGCTTTTATTCCTAGTATGTAAGTTCATTAGTAGGGCTTAGTTAGTCAAATTTTACTTTATTTAATAAAGTAATATTTGCTTTGCTGTGTTTTTACACGTTGTGACATATCCACTATATATTTATACAAAATATCAACGTGTTGGATCTTAGATAAGTGATTTAAATGCGATCTATATAGATCACATAAGCTGGGTATTATTATAAAATGTGCTATTGTAATATGTACTGTATTCTAGGTGTATACAAAATTATTAATTGTATACATATTATATATACATCAAATTTTTAAATTCTTAAATAATAATCATCAATGTTGCTATTTCTTGTTATTTCCATTTGTGTAAATATATTTCTAAAGTATACAACTAATAATTTTGTATACATGTATACAATATAATTTAAGGCAGTACGGTAAAAGTGTCTGTATTATAATCGCTAAAAAAAAAACGATGAGATAAATTTATGAGTATGTAATGCTTATAAACTATTTAATAAAAAGACTTGATTATATATATATATATATGTATAATTTTGTGAATGTAAATTATATTGACTATTTTTTTATGTGTAACATCTTTCTTCTCGTTTTCTCGCAATATGTGTGTGATTTGTTAAAAAGGGACGGAAGTAGTAGAGGATACGCGCGTTTTTAGATTTGTTGCGCAGTGGTTGTTATGATACTGAGAGATTTTACACATTTTTATTTGGTTACATAATCAACTATTACCATTACATAACTCACACACTCATCTGTTATGTCAGAAAAAATTGTAATACGAAATTACACGTTGTAATATTACAGCGTATAATTTTGTATTACAATTTTTATGTTACGTTACATTATATGAATGTAAATTTTGGTTATTCATATGTTTTTGTTTGCATATGAAATCTAACAAGGTTTCTAATGTGTTTTAATCCATTCTACACAAGATTAAAGTAAAATATACGTCTACAATGTCTATTGTATGTTTTATTTGTGTATTCTAAAATGCATAGACTAATTTCTTTTTACACTTTCACGCAAAAACTATTGATCGGATTTCGATGAAACTACAGTAATATAGCTTAATATATCAGAATAACATATAGGTTATAAATTTCGGGCAAAACTAGTTAAATATAAAACAATTTTTTTAAAATATATATTTATTTAAAAACATAACATTTCCAATATTAAATAATGCAACAATAGTATTGGTTGGGTATTTTATAATGCGATTTGCTTGGACTTTATTAAACTGTATATTTTGAGTTTGTGTTAGAAGAATAATGGCAGAAATATATATTTTTTTTTCGGACTACTCTAATGTTGTTGGTCTTTACAGCTTCACCGGACGATAGGGGGTGAGTGCAAATGGCACTCCAAACCCGCGGAAGGACTTATGGAGCGGCTGAAGGCCAACTCCTACCTGACGGATACGACTTTAGTCTGAGGGCACCACTAGGGGTTCGAACCTCGGCTCAGGCCGTCGTAATATCGATCCCCGTTTGAATTGGACGGGGGATCGATTGAAGGGGATGGTAGAAATAAAAAACATTCACGTTAACCTATTTAATTTGTTTTAATTTCTAGTTAAATCTTTCTTTTCAATGGCAACTAAACGTACTTTCCCAAGAATGTTGCGATAAATTTTGCGTATTCTGTCGCATTTAGATCTTCAGTTATATCTATACATATAAATAAAATTGGAGTGTCTGTTTGGAATATTGATATAACAGTTTTTTACTACATGTATATGAATATAAATACGATTACATATACCTAAATAACATTTTTTTAAATTTTTGTCTGTCTGTCTGTCTGTTTGTTCCGGCTAATCTCTGAAATGGCTGGACAGATTTGACGGGACTATTTTTGGCAGGTAGCTGATGTAATAAGGAGTAATATAGGCTGCTTTTATTTTAGAAAAATAAAGTTATATTCCACGCGGACGAAGTCGCGTGCACACAGCTATTATGTAAATAAATGATTAATAAATAAATAAATAAATTATTTCAGCCATTTATAGGACAACGGTGACTGTTTACCATCAGATAGTATGTACACCACTAAAGAAAAGAAAAAAAACTTTATTTATAAGTTTTTTTTTACCCACAAATTTAAACTTTACAACACGGCTTCACTGGTTCTTCTTGCTTCTTTATTTCCTTATTACAACATCCTGAACAGTTCTTCTGGTTATTTTCCTTCTCTTCTCTTCTCCCTCTCCCCGCTAGGGGTTTGTCTCTCTCGTCCCATACTACGACGCCGTCGCATGCGCATATGCGTTTTGGATTTTGGAATACACCCGCTGATCGAGCAATTATGCCACACGCGACTCTGGAAGAAAGAAAAAAGAAAGAAAGAAAGAAAATAATGTCAACTAGACCCGTCTATTATAATAGATGTTTATTTCGTGCGAAGAATCGAACCCCCGACTATCGGAAGTAAAGCGGTATGTTACAACGCTAGACCACCGAGGCCGTCATAATAATAGAAAATATCCAGAATAGAATAGAATAGAAAATCATTTATTCAAATAAACTTAATTTAAGCACTTTTGAATAGTTATCACAATTTTTTTTATCTACCACTCGTTCGGAAAGCTGTCTTATCACAAGAAGAACGAGCAAGAAACTTGTGTGTTGCTCTTTTAAATAATCCTTGTAAGTTTACATTTACATGTCGAAACGTGTGAATAGAAACTACCAACCAGCACTATTTTTTTGGGTCAAATATAAATATACAATAAGATTAAATCAGTCGTAGTGATAAGAGCAGACCAGTCCCTACAAGCAGCACTCGTTCACGAGTATGACGGATGAGCCAGCCATCGCTGCGCTCGACCATATTTTAGAGAACCCAATGACCTGGCCCGCCACACCGCCACATGTCTGGACATTTTAGTGAGCACCTACTGTATGAAGAGTCGTGACTCATTAATTACAATAACATACCAAAGGATATATTGTAATTACCCTTAAATAAATTCAAAACATCTGTTAAATCATATTTACTAAGCAAAGCCTATTACTCACTAAACGATTACTTGAATGACGAGCGTGCATGGCAATAGTTGTTCATGCACTGAATTTTCATTTAATGTTAGACATAGACACCTATATAAATATACATTATAAAAAAAAAGTAATTCAATTGATTTCTTGCCAGTTCTTCTCAATTGGATCTATATACCGAACTGGACGGTACGGAAAAATTAAAATTATAATGTAAAAATTTGACGTTCATAAGCGGCTAAAATGTCCTACATGAATAAATTAATTTGAATTTAGCATAACTACTCATTCCAATCAACCACGTCATAGCTACTTAAATACATAACGTATACCAGCCTTATTATTCGAGAAAGAGGTCAATCGTCGAATCCAACTCGGATGGGCAGTGTTCGGGAAGCTCCGATATATCTTTTCGTCCAAATTTCCGCAGTGTCTCAAGATGACGGTTTACGACCAATGTGTGTTGCCAGTGATGAGTTACGGAACAGAGACGTGGTCGCTAACTATGGGCCCCAACAAGCTCAGAGTCACTCAGAGGGCAATGGAGAGGGCTATGCTTGGGGTTACTCTGCGTGATCGAAACAGAATTGAGGAGATCCGCAGAAGAACCAGAGTGACCGACATAGTCCGAAGAATTGCTACTCTGAAGTGGCAATGGGCAGGGCACATAGCTCGTAGGACAGATGGCCGTTGGGGCAGTAAAGTCCTCGAGTGGCGACCACGGACCGGAAGACGCAGCGTGGGAAGGCCTCCAGCAAGGTGGGGGAGGCCTATGTCCAGCAGTGGACGTCTTCCGGGCTGCGATGATGATGATGACCAGCCTTATTAGGGCCTTAAACACTGATGGTCGATTTTATAGTACACTTACGGGCCTCCACTGTCTCCGTTTATCTTGGATTGAGCCGACCCGCCTCGTCCCAGGTCATCTTGCCTCTCTGTCACAGCTACAGATCTACCTATGATGTCCCAGATCTATCAAAAATAAAATATGTTTATTCATGTATGTTTTATGTGTGATTTTTTAACTGTGCCCGCGGTTTTATCCGCGTTAAGTTTCAATAAAAAAATATAGTCTATGTGTTATTCTGATGCATAAGCTATATTACTGTAAAGTTCCATCAAAATCCGTTTAGTAGTTTTTGCGTGAAAGAGTCACGAACATCCATACTTACATATTATCGCGTTTATGATATTATTAAGATAGATGGTGCACCCGCCTGCGCTAACGGTTTACGCTGGCGGGGCACCAGTGGAGGATGATAAGATGAACATGAGGTCAGGTCAGGTGGTTTCCAGGGGGAACCGAGGTAAACCGCACGCGCAACTTGTTATTTTATATGACAGTAGCTGTACCCGCGACTGCATCCACGTGAAATTAAAAAAAAGATGATTAGAGAATCTTTCTAAAATAAAAGTAGCCTAAGTTACTCCTTATTACATCAAAATCGGTCCAGCCATTTCAGAGATTGTAAAAAATGATATTTTGGTGTATGTACCGTATTTATATTAATATGCGTGTAGTAAAAAACAGTATAGAATAGAAAAAGAATAGAAAATCATTTATTCAAATAAACTTACATTGAAGCACTTTTGAATAGTCATAACATTTTTTTTTTTTTTTAATCTACCGCTCATTCGGAATGCTGTCTCATCACAAGAAGAACAAGCAAGAAACTTGTGTGTTGCTCTTTTAAATAATTTATTCTTACTTACAATTTAAGTTTAAGTGTGTGAATACAAACCACCGATTAGCACTAATTCAATTAAATACTCAAAAAGAAAAAAATATTGAATACATAACCAACTGGTTAAACAATTAATAAGAGGAATCAGTCATAGTGATTAGAGCAGACCAGTCCCTACAAGCAGCACCCGTTCACGAGTATGACGGATGAGCCAGCCATCACTGCGCTCGACCATATTTTAGGGAGCCCAATGACCCGGCCCACCACGCCGCCACAAGTCTGGACATTTTAGTGAGCATGACTACTCAAAACACCAGACCACGTCATAGCTACTCACAATTGCCATCTGATGTTTATAGTATTCACATTTCACATAAGAATGCATGCGGCAATTAATACAAAACCCGCTACGCTTTCATATTTCTAAAATAATTGAATCAAGAAAGCAATGAGATAAACAAATTATAACGTTGTATGCTAATAAACTAATTATTTACTTGATATGTTGTCTTCTATGAATTCGTCTATCCTGTAATAGGCTTTCTTACATAAAAATTGTTTAATATAAGATTTGAATTGCCTCTCTGTCAGATTTAGTGCAGATTCTGGCAGTTTATTATAAAATCTTACGCAATTACCATAGAATGAATTACTGACTTTGTGCAGGCGGCATTTAGGTAAAATTAGCTTATTTTTATTGCGTAAGTTTCTATTTGTACAGTCTTTAAGTTTTCTAAAACTGTCTAAATTCTTCCGTGTATGCATGATATTCTCATAAATGTATTGTGAAGTAACGGTGAGGATATTTGAATCTTTAAAACACTGACGTAATGAATTTCAATATTACAAACAGACACTCCAATTTTATTTATATGTATAGATATGATGAGTTTGTGTGTGTGTATATATATTAAGACAATACCTTCAAATACTTACTTTCAGTACACTATCCTGTATTCTGAACGTGGCCCTTCCATGCTCATCTGCGACAATGTTCCCCAAATCGCCGGCGTGTCTCAGCTCTTTGGGGTCTTGCGGCCCGCCGTGTGGTGAATCGTACGGATTGAAATGATCACCTATAGATTGACAACCCTGGAATAATAAACCTGTTTTAATTAATAAAAATTTATATGTGTTAGAATATACAATAATAGTCGGAACTCTGCTAACCACTTTATTTAATATATTAATTACTAGCTGTTCCCGCGACTTCGTCCGCGTGGAATTTTGCAACATTACTTTATTTTTCTAAAATAAAAGTAGCCTAAGTTACTCGTTATTACATCAGCTACCTGCCAGTAAAAGTTCCGTTAAAATCGGTCCAGCCATTTCAGAGATTAGCCGGAACAAACAGACAGATAAAAATTATGAATATAGCTAATTTGGTGTATGTACCGTATTTATATTGATGTGCATGTAGTAAAAAACGGTTATTTCAATATTACAAACAGACACTTCAATATTTATATATATGTGTAGATTTCTCTGCCTAGGTTCATAGGCTTGTCCTAAGACATAGGCCTCCTCCAAAAGACTCCAGGCTCCTCCAAGGTGTTGGACCTTCCTTCTCCATGTTGGTCCCGCCACTGCCCTTATATCAACCAACCACCTTTTTTCTATCGGCCTGGTTCCTTCTTGGATACCAATCTAAGACATTCTATTACTATCCATTAAAAAAAATTACCAACCCTGCTAAGGTCACCAACTTCATGAACGTGCAGACCATGAGGGCCGGTGGTCAGACCGTCGATGCTGCCGTCCGCTACCAGCGCACCGTCGCCCGCCTGCTGGAACCTGACCACACCTACCACTTTACCACTGCAGCATGACTGGCTGGTGACCATGGCCACCGCTGATTGTGTATCTGTGGAAAAATAACAGATTAGTAGAATAGAAAATCATTTATTCAAATAAACTTAATTTAAGCACTTTTGAATAGTGATTCTTTAAATCTACCGCTCATTCGGAAAACTTCATCACAAGAAGAACGAGCAAGAAACTTGCGTGTAGCTCTTTTAAATAATCATTGTAACTTTACATTTCCAAATCAAATCAAATCAAATCAAATTTATTTGCACTAAACATAGGTTTACATTGGTTGTTATTGTAATATAATGTCCCATTATGTTTTGCCTCATTAGGCATGCAAAATGTACAAATAATAAATATTATTTAATTATTAAATCAATTGTCATCAGAGAATTATAAATACATATTATTATTATTACACTATTATTAATTTAAAACCTCGTTTACGGAGTAAAAACATTTGTCGAGTAACCAACTATTTAATTTATATGTCAATCGTCCTCGTGGAAGTGACTTTATATCATCTGGTATTTTATTATAAATTTTTATCGCCATATGGAAGACATTATTTTTGACCATACTTAATTTCGTTCCATGTATGTACAGCTTCGTTACTTCCTCCAATTCGAAACGTGTGAATACAAACCACCAACTAGCACCAAGTTATTAGCTTCAGATATTAAGTACACAATAGGATTAAAACAGTCGTAGTGATTAGAGCAGACCAGTCCCTACAAACAGCACTCGTTCACGAGTATGACGTATGAATAGAAATAGAATAGAAAATAATTTATTCAAATAAACTTAATTTAAGCACTTTTGAATAGTCATAATAATTTGTTTTTTATCTACCACTCGTTCGGAAAGCTGTCTCATCACAAGAAGAACAAGCAAGAAACTTGTGTGTTGCTCTTTTAAATAATCCTTGTAAGTTTACATTTACAAGTCGAAACGTGTGAATACAAACCACCAACTAGCACTAAGTTATTAGCTTCAGATATTAAGTACACAATAGGATTAAAACAGTCGTAGTGATTAGAGCAGACCAGTCCCTACAAGCAGCACTCGTTCATGAGTATGACGTATGAGCCAGCCATCACTGCGCTCGACCGTATTTTAGGGAGCTCAATGACCCGGCCCACCACGCCGCCACATGTCTGGACATTTTAGTGAGCATGACTAGTGAGCTGTGTATAGCTAATAATAATAATCTCAGAACAATTCACACAGCGCCATCTAGACCCAATTTCGGCTAGCTAAAGCTTGTATTTTTTCGTAAATACACACATATTATACATAGAAAACAACCAGAGAGATGACTGCGAACAGTGATGAATGGAAGAGAAAAACTTATTCGACCACAATGATTGGGATAAGGAAGATGGTAAATGATGTTGTTACCTCCAAAACCTTGCAAGACAGTCCGCTTTCCTGATGTTTTAGCCACTAAATCCAGTATAACGGAATTCGGAAGTGTTGTTTCAACCATGATTGCTCCATCCTTGTATATTGCCTGCAGCAGAATAAAACAAAATAATTGTTTAAGAGGCCTTTCACATTTTTTGGCGTAAAAGCGGGGTCTTTGGGGTTCTGGTTCTAAGAAATTAAGAGTCGGATATACATTTTGATTCCTGAATTATATAGATAGATATCTAATCTTAAAAACAACATCTTTGAAATGTTAATTTTCTCTTTGTTAGTCTTCCTAATTTCTAAAATAGTTTATTCAAAAACGCTAAGAGACAGAAGTTTGGGGTCGTCGTTCATTAATAAACAAACATAAATTGATATGATATCTGTACTAAAACTTGATAATTACTTTATAAATTGAGACAGCATCGTCCTTTTTTTCATTTTCAACTTAAATATCTAAAAAATTGATCATAATGAAACCCGAAATTTCAACAAAACTTTGCCATAATCATTTCTAATTTTCTCATAAATACAACGAAATTTTTGCATAAAAAAAACATAATAATAAAGTTAATATACTTGTAAATTAGAAATATAAAAAAATATATAAGTTTCTAAGAAAAAAATAAACAATAATAATAATTTAAAGTTGTATAAATTCCGTTGCGCCAAAAGTAAATTCTCAGTGCTGCGCTAGCGCTCGTCGAGGTAGGACCTATGCTATTTTTTACGACACCGCTACGATAAGACATTCGTAAACATTTGTCAGTGAACATTAGTATAGTGCGACTAAACAATTTTGATAATTTAAGTAATATTTAATTAATTTTGCTAATATATACTTATTTCTACGAATATTAATTTAAAGTTGTTGTTACATATATATATAATATTTATTTTAGCATGCCAAAACAAAAGTACAGTTATGCTACAAATAAAACCTACCTACCCTGCTGCACTATAAAAAGCACAAGAGCATGGTATTTCGTCACACTAATGGCAATTAATTGTTAAAATTAAAAAAGAGAACATTTTAGTATTTTTAAAAATAACGCTTATCTGAGAGAAAAATGTAAGGAAATGTAAACCAATTTTACTTTATGTTTATTTTGTAGTTTTTTTCTAAATTAAAATAGGGTTATTGTTTATAAAAATACCATTATTATTTTTACGTACATTTGTCTTGTGTTATATCATCTATCTGCAATGTGGATTGTAAATAAATTACCAAATTATATATAAATTATATTCCTTAATGTTTAGAGATATTTTATCCAATTTACTTTATTTTATTTTACACAATACAGATATTTCTAAATTGCAGCCATTCTGTTATTATACTCGTTGGACTTTCATTACTGTACAGTTATGTCAAATAATTATGCGTGTTTGGGTGAAAAGTCAACATTATAAATGTTTTTATTTAGAGACTAGCTTTTAGCTCGCGGCTTCGCCCGCGTGAATATGGGATATATAGGTTATCGCGCGTTTAAAGATCCGTGTACAATATTGGGACGTTATATATAAACCTTCCTCTTGAGTCTATCTATTCTGTTAACAACGAATCAAAATCTGCGTAGTTTTTTAAGATCAAAATACATAGATCTATTACATGTGTAGATGATATTTTAACTTTAAAATGGTATTGGCAGATCAGTTGGAATCGTCGGTATTCTTGGTATATGAGCTGGTTGCCCAGCTAACGTACCGGTTATAATGGTCTACAATTAAATTGTCTTTCAATTCTTTAGTAAGCAACATATCCAATGGGACGCCATTGCACATGTTCGGCGGGCTTAAACTTCATGATTGGAGCATGCTTTTGAGAAATTCCTTCCTCAAGTTTGAGCAGTTAGTGTGGGAAATCACTATCTGTGCTTCCATAAAGATGGGTTCTCAAATTTGTCAGTAGTTTTAAACTTTCAATTAAAGTCCATAAGGGAGACGATGTTAATGACACAGAGAGTCTTTCAGAAATCTCCAGCAAAAGTATAAAAGTAATCCCGCCAATGAGAGCAGAGGTGTTTCTAAGGTCTTTTAAGGTTCTGTCCAAAATCTCTATAGCTCATGGTGATTTCATTCCATATAATCAATGAGGCGTCTTGTAATAATCTATAAAAAGTTTTGATATTAACATGTAATTATTTATCAAGAATCAAGAATCGGCCAACCAAGAACGAGAAGCTGCAATATCAGCCAATCATGCGGCGACGTCAATGATGCAGGAACAGCAATGATAGCAGTTGAAGGTTTTTTTATACAACTTAGAATGGCAAACAAGCTGACGGCCGCCCATGCATTGCCATTCCTGAGAATGTGATGTTTTATTCCTGAGGTGTTATTCCCCTGTACCCTGTAAATTCACTGCCATATATATACACAGATAGTCTATATAGATAGGTATGCATATACACAGATAGTATACCCTGAGAAAGGTCATAGACTACTTTATAGTGCGAAAAAGGATTGTACGGGATTGAAAGCTGAGATGAAAGGTTGTATAAAAGTATCATCATTGTTTAAGTGAAACAATGAAACTTTTTTGGGTTATAATCTAAATATATTTCCTTTATTTGGTCAATTTCATTATACCACGTTGACGAAGTCGCGGCCACATCTAATATACATATAAGGATGGGAACTTTAAATCGAAATAAAGCCATGAAAACACAACTATTATATATAAGTAAAATAATTATTTGCCTAAGTTTAATATTTAGAACAAGTGAATATGGCAATAATGCATCCGACTCTTATAATAAATTATCTTGTATTTATTAATAAATAAATTTAATTAATATATAATAAGAATTAAATAGTACATTTATGTTATAGTAATTTCATCTTCCTGTCCTTATCCCAATTATTTGTTACTCATATTACTTAAGGTTTTGGCTTTTAGTTATACAATCGGCCAGCATCCTGACTTCAACCCTCTAGGAATAATATAATAAAAAAATATGGTCATTATTAGCACTTTGATAATTAAGATAAATCACGTTATTTAAAAAAATCCAATAAATAGTTTATGTTACTCAGTTAAGTAAAAACATATTACATTATTAATTAAAATATTACAAGGATCAAAATGGTTCATACTAAATCCACACCGATTGCGCTACACGGTTATTTGCGTCTGTGTGCGTGTACTACTGTGTGTGTGCGTAAATCCATACGATTAAACCTAAAGTTGAGCGGCATCATTTTGTAATAGTCCTCTTAAGAGCTTGAAGTGTAATATATAAAAATTCACATATATATGTATGTAAGTGTGTATTTAATTATAGGAGCCAACAGAATATCAGCGCTGCAGAGTTATCTGTAGCTTCATGCTGAGTTGGTTGCCTCTTCTTCATTGCGACACATAGAGCCACCTCCTCATTTTTATTTTATTTTGTAATATTTTTGCATTATTTAATTTGTAAACTTTATTTCTATTTATAAAATGTATCTCATGTATGTAATTGTTGAATAAAGCATTTATCTATCTATCTATGAAGACCTTTAATATAATGCCCTCTGTGATTATTTATATAAAAAAAACATCTATTAAAAAGAGCACACACAAGTTTCTAGCTCATTCTTCTTGTGATGAATCTGCGTTCCGAATGAGTGGTAGAATCAAAATATGACTATTCAAAAGTGCTTGTAATGAGTTTATTTGAATAAAGATTATTTCTGTTTCCAAAATATTTCTCTATCTTCACGCAACTTCTTTTATTGTTACTATTGAAACTCACTCTATATTTATCCCGGGAAAATAAATTTTAATCATATCAGATACAAACCTCTTTGACTCCATCCTGTGACTTCAGTTCTGTCAGTGTTTTGTCTAATAATTTTGATACGGGATTTGTTCCAAAATCCACAAGGACTTCCAACTGAAATAGAAAGTTTGTTTGTAGTTTTGAACCTAATGGTAACTGCACAAAATTGGTGAAGTTATTCAGAAATGGCAAAATTCAGAAATTTATGAGTTTTAATGTTATTTATACTATACCGAACCCTAATAAAATTGCCAAACTTCACTGAGCAAATAGAAATAAGCCACAGCTACATATTAGACTGTGTTTAACGGATCCAATAAAATAATACCACTTCCTTTCAGCCACTAGTGTTTAATATTAAGTAATTTACAAAATAAAAAATGAATTATTAATACGCCATGTTATAGTATCAAACTTTTGTTATAATAATTTTTAAAATTTCGAATTTCGAATCATTACGTAAATAAAAAGTAAAATATACTTAGATGGCCAAGACGGTTTTAAAATTCATACTTAATCAGACTGTGTCTCTCAAACAAATCACCGATCAAAATTGGTGGCGGCCATTTAAAATAAAGAAGAAGAAGAAACATATTAATCTTAGAAGATTAAAGTTCATAAATGCATAGACAAACAGACAAAGCACTGCACTGCAACCTGCATAGATATATTGTGCTTGCCCTTTATTTCAAAGTAAGATAGACTTACATATATATAAATTAATAATATAAATTATTGTTATAATGTTAATGTTAGTCTATAAGGTATCTAAATATATATAACTCAAAGGTGACTGACTGACATAATGATCTATCAATGCACAGTCCAAACCACTGGACAGATTGGGCTGAAATTTGGCATGCAGGTAGATGTTACATGTACATAGGCATTGTGTGAAACTTTGTCAATTTTAAACCGATCGGGCTGAAGCATGCATAAAGCTACTATGACATAGTATCCCCTAAGAAAGGATTTTGATAAATTCCACACCTAAGGGGTGGAATTAACGTGAGCGAAGCCGCGGTCAAAAGTTTTAATTTTCAATATGGGTCATTAGTAACCTAAATTGAGTAAATAAATAATAAATTAAAGTAATTATCACACAGTAAAAAAAACTAAAAACTTTGGTCCAACTTAAAAGAAGACTTTTAATATTTGAATTACTCAGTTACAGAAACTCGTGGCCGGGGCATCTTAGTTAATTAAAAAATACATTTAAATAACATTGTAATGGAAATTTCTAGAATATTGAAATTAGGGAGCCGGGTTAAATAGTAGATATATAAGTAAGTAATCAACTAGTTTACTTTTAAGTTACTGTATATAGTATGATAAAAGTGATTTTATACATGTTAATTATAATTAAATAACTACATTTAAACAAATAATTATTTGTCAAGGACATTTTCAGTTTTAATATTCTGTATTTGATTTGTTTACAATGTTAAACAACACTAAAATACTCAACATACCTTTGAAGTAATCATCTCTGGCTCTTTATTATGCAGAACAGATATATAATAATATTTTATATATGTTTAATTAAATAATAAAGTACAAATCAAGAATGTTTATTTAGAAAATGTGTAAATTATCAAAACAAAAAATAACAAACGTCAGTCAAAGTTATGACCTTGACACTTCTAACCTAACTTAATTTTTATTTTGGTACGGATTTCCCGTCTATGGGTAAGGCAAAAGGATGCAGCTCATACAGCCTATTGGGTAGTACAGCAAATCCAATATATATATAATAATAGATATTGAATTATAATTAGGTTCTTAGAAAGGGCATCAATAAAAGAGGACAGTAAAATATGCTATATTCACAGTTATATTTAATTTAAATTTACAGTCTTTATTTTCTATTGTTCTAACGATGACAAGGAATGTACAATTTTCAAATTTATATTTTCTTTATATAAAGTAAAGAGTTATTAATACAGCCAATGTCTTCAATAGTCTTTACAAATGATACCTCTTGAAATGTTTTTATTACGTAATCGAATATATATTAACTTATTGATAAGTTTCTATGTTCTTCAATAAATAATTTCATTCAATAGGGTGATTTCTTTTTTTTTTGTTCGATTTTCCCGTTTCAGAGAAAGGCAAAAGGAATGGGCCCAAACAGCCACTGTGCTCGGTAGTCTTCTGATATTATATATCCTTCAATTTATTGTCTTCACAATTCGACATATATTATTTTATGTATTATTGATAAAATAATATATATTGATAATATTATAAATAAAACAATACTTATAGTTCACAATCACTTTCTTATTTTTCAACAACAAAATTTTTGCCACATACACAAAAGCACACAATTCGCAACGCACGCCCCAATTTTATCATCTTAACTAGAGCTGTTACCGACAACATCGTCCGCGCAATATTTGACTTTATTCATTAATATTAAAAAATTTAAAACAAGTGAAGCTTACGTCATAAATTACCCCCTATGTCAGCTATTTGCAACGGAAAGTGCCGCTAAAATTGTCCAGTACATTTTTTTAGAATACATGTTATTTTTTATAGTTAAGTCGTATTGTGCACTGACTACACATCTAAATTAAACAAATGGAAGGGTGCCGAGTGTTGATAGATATATGCACAAGTATATACATACATTTACTAGTACCTGGAGTTGATTTTATTATAGTAGCTACCTACCTACCTTATCTTTCATCCTTTATAAAATTGAAGACTTTGTAAACGATATTTTTTTGGTAGAAAAATATAAAATTCATAGCGTTGACAATATTAGGTATCCGATTGCAGTGCGTAGCGGTTTCTATATTGATTATCGCATGCCGCTTACTTGTCATTGTGTATTATTTAAAATAGCATTTATTCAAAAGATCACACACAAGTCTCTTGCTCATTCTTCTTGCGCGTTCCGAATGAGTGGTAGAATAAAAAAATATGTATTGAGTTTACTTGCATAATGATTATTTCTATTTCTATTACATTAAAACAGCAAACACAGTTTGAAACAATATTTATTTATCACAACAGAAACAATAGAAAAATGGAACACAAAAGAATACAAAATTATATATAGAGTTGGCAGTTACCAATATGACTATCTATAACATTTGTTTGTTGTTATAACTGTATGTGTATTAATTTATTTTATTTCAATTTCATATCATATTTATAGTAACACTCTCTGCATACTCCTCAAGGGCTGACGTCAATGTAAATTAGTTTAAATGAACATTTCTTGTGGTTTCGGTTAAAACGAGGAAATCAAATGGTCAAAATAATAAATAAATAGTAAAAAAAATAATCTCAAGTTCACCATATTGGTTTTAGAGTTATGTAATTTTATTTTTAGTTGTCTTCTCAATACGCCTTTGCATTTCAAAACTCATCATGGAAGTGCATTAAAAAATTATTAATCCGCCATAATGGTTGATCGGCCATTTTGAATATTAGATCGACGCCATTAAGCATATACGCTATTATTATCCAAACCAAATATTATACATAAATATCAGCGCAATCCGTTGAATCCATTAGAAAAAAATAAATCCAATCGGTTGAGAGTAAACAGTTTAAAAATATATCTGTGAGATTTGACCACAATTAACATAAATATTGAAATTTAAAAATAGTTTGTAAAAATGTTGGATATAGCTGATTAATACTGATTTTAAGGCTGCAATTGTTGCGGGATGTCAAGATGGTGTTCGTTACTCATTCTGCCGAGGCACGGAGATATTGAGCGGCATTTCTATAAAAAAATTGTAATTATTAAATAATTTATCAAAATATAACAATTAACTAATAAAATTTATACAAAGTCTTCTGCCATTTTATTGTGAATTGTCGGGTGTTCTATGACTCATTTCCACTTAGATACCCGTCTATAGTCGACGGTCGACTATAGATAGGTAGAGGGATTGACATAAAATACCCGATCGTCGACTATAGACAAGTAGAGGAATTAACATAGAATAGTCGGGTATACTATGTTAATTCCTCTACTTGTCTATAGTCGTCCGTCGGGTATTCTACGTCAATCCCTCTACCTGTCGAGTATTCTACGTCATTTCCTCTACCTGTCTATAGTCGACCGTCGGGTATTCCACGTCATTTCCTCTATTTGTCTATTGTCGATCTCCGTTACAATAGGTGTAAGCGTATCATATACATAACTAGTAAAATAGAGTTTAGTAACAGGATTTGATAAGCTAGTGTCGGGTATTCTACGTCAATTCCTCTACCTGTCTATAGTCGACCGACGGATATTTTAAGTCAATTCCTCTACTCGTCTATAGTCGACCGTCAGGTATTCTACGTCAATTTCGTCTACCTGTCTATAGTCGACCAACGGATATTTTAAGTCAATTCCTCTACCTGTCTATAGTCGACCTTCGGGTATTTTAAGTCAATTCCTCTACCTGTCTATAGTCGACCTTCGGGTATTTTAAGTCAATTCCTCTACCTGTCTATAGTCGACCTCCGCTACAACAGGTGTGAGCATCTCAACACGCTTCACCGGCGTCTGATCCATGTTGTGGACCAGCTTGTACACATCGGAGTTCTGGAGGTGGTCCAGAGAGACTGGAGGCTTTTCGTACTTCATGAAGTTGATCCTATATAGAAAACAAATTGAATGAATGAAACGCCTATATAAAAATACATTGTAAATAAACTGGCTTTAAAAAAAAAAAGTAATTCAATTGAGTTTCTTGCCAGTTCTTCTCAATTGGATCTATATACCGAACTGGACGGTAGGGAAAAAATAAAATTATAATGTAAAAATTTGACGTTCATAAGCGGCTAAAATGTCCTACATGAATAAATGATTTTTGATGATGAAAAAATCTTTATTGTTTTCAGAAAAAAACAATGATTTATATAAACTGTTATGTATAAATATAGCATATATATATTTATAAGTGACGCAAAAGCTTCGTACCACTTTTTGCGAAAACTGCGCGGTCAGAGAAGTATGAAATTTAGCACACTTATAGTTCATATAGAGAAGGTGCGCAGAATGCATTTTTTTTTATTATGTATATAAAATACTATAAATTAGTAAAATAAACATTACGCACACTAGCCTGTATTTGACGCAGACATTATCTTTGGCAATAGAACCTTAATAATGTCCAAAATTATAATTTAATTATGGTCGAATTTCATTCATTGGGCGATCACTTCTTAATAATAATAATAACTCTTTATTGCGCATACATAAACATAGGACAGTAAGTACAATACAATGAAAATACACTTCTTATTATCTATTATTATTTATTTAGTTGTTAAATAATAGAATATACTTTAAAATTGTTCTAAAATTGATTATTTTTACAATGAAGGTGTGAAATTTCATTTATATACAATACATTGGTGCAATTTGTTTAGTGGACGATGAAACAAATTAGCAGAATTGTAATTGTACGTTAAAATTATTGACTTCTGTTTACGCTATAAAGATTTTTTTTTATCAAATTGTTGTTAACAAAATAAAAACGAAAAACAACCTATCGTATTGCTACAACAAATGGTAGAAGTTATTTATTCGATGTGATCTTAACTCGATTGCGTGCCATTCGTAGATCACTCGAATTTTCTGACTTTACAAAATATTTTTCAGTGTGCGTAATGTTTAGTTTTAATATGAACATACAAAACCCATGCAAAAACTACACTCACATTGACAATATTATTAAAATTGATCACATATTTGTCTTGCAGTGTATGAAAATCCACTAGGTGGCAGTTCGATTCCCTGGAATGGATTTAAATAAAAAATCAAACGATACATTTCTCGTCTATTTATAAGTGCCTATTTCTGAATTCATCCGTGTTAAATAATATTTATACTTTGTTTTCGGACTACTCTAATGCTCTTGGCCGCAGGTGGCCTTTATAGTTTCACCGGACGATAGCGGGCGAGTGCAGATGGCACTCCAAACCAAAGGAAGGACTTATGGAGCGGTTGAAGGATAACTCCTGCCTGACATTGATAGGTTGCCTAGGCTCTAGCGTAGGCAGACTAAAGTCCACCCTTGGAAGTAGGAAAGAACAATATAAAATAGAATTATATAATTATTATTATTTAATTACTTTGTATTCATAGAAAACATCAACTTAAAAATTATTCAAAAGAATTATTCAACATTAATCAAAAGTACAACACGCAAGTTTCTTGCTCGTTCTTCTTGTGATGAGTCTGTGTTCCGAATGAGTGGTAGAATAAAAAATATGACAATTCAAAAGTGCTTGTATTATATTTATTTGAATAAAGATTATTTCTATTTCTAAACTTACCTATTAGACAGTTTACAATTTGACTTAGTATCACGCCACGGCCAAATCTGATTCCAGTTTTCGATCTGCACCAGCGGACAAACATGCAAACAAACAGACAATAACAGTTAGTGACACTCACACCGACTGATCAACAACACAAAATGTTAGATGACTACAAAATATTTGTAATATCTAATGATAGAGCCAGTGACGCATACTGATACTGAAATGATATCATTTCTAAGTAATTTTAGGATGTCTGAGAATATAAATAATAATGCTCTATTACTTATATTCTCAGTTAGAATTCTATCCGCTAGTATTTACATTCTCAGAGCACCATTCGCTATTATTTATATTCTCAGTTAGAACACTATCCGGTAATATTTACATTCTCAGAGCACTATCCGCTATTATTTATATTCTCATTATATAATAATCTGTTATTATCTATATTCTCAGTTAGAACCCTATCCGCTAGTATTTACATTCTCAGAGCACTATCCGCTATTATTTATATTCTCATTATATAATAATCTGTTATTATCTATATTCTCAGTTAGAACACTATCCGCTAGTATTTACATTCTCAGAGCACTATCCGCTATTATTTATATTCTCATTATATAATAATCTGTTATTATTTATATTCTCATCGAACCAGCGATCATTAGAAGTAAAGCGATGTGCTAACCGCTAGACAACCGGGGATATCAATTACACTTGTACAAATATATAATCATCATATATTCAAAATATTAAGTTATTATTAAATATGTAAGTTATATTTCTAAGTTATATTTTATGAATTATGCTACATCTATACACAATATTAAAATACACTGTACATATTTATATAATGGTTTATGTATAACTATTCTAAATTATTAGTATATACAATATATAAGTATATATGAATTAACACGTTCACTAGATCGTCTCGACGGACCTACCACCAATGGTTGGCATTCGATTGTACTATTAGACAATGAATTAAAACTAAAATAATCAATAATTAAATAATAATAAATAGTCAATAAAAATAAATAATAATAAGTCGCACAATTTTTGCCTTGTTAAAATAATAATAAGGCAAAAATCGCGCGCCTTATTATTTTTTATTATTGTTTCATCGGGCGGCGCGTACCAGCGATGGTACGCATTTGATGGTGCTATTCGAAAAATAAATAGAAACTAAAATAATCAATAATCGGGTAATAATAAAGAATTAATAAAAATAAATAGATAATATAAAATAAATTTAATCAAATAATAATAAATAACTAGTACTAATGGTAATAATAAGGTGCGATTTTTGCCTTATTAAAATAATAATAAGGCAAAAATCGCGCGCCTTATTATTTTTTATTGATTATTTATTATTATTGTCTCATCGGGCGGCGCGTACCATCGATGGTACGCATTTGATGGTGCTATTCGTCAAATAAATAGAAACTAAAATAATCATTAATCGGGCAGTAATAAAGTATTGCATCATCTTTCCTTATGCGAGCAGCTAAGGAGTGGAACTCTCTACCAGCGTCTATTTTTCCTGCCTCTTACAACATTGGGTCTTTTAAGTCAAGAGTGAATAGGCATTATTTGAGCTTGCGTGTAACAGCTTAGACCACATCATCACTTAACATCAGGTGAGATTGCAGTTATGATATAAAAAAAAAGTATTAATAAAAATAAATAGATAATATAAAATAAATTTAATGAAATAATAATAAATAGCTAGTACTAATGGTAAAAATAAGGTGCGATTTTTGCCTTATTAAAATAATAATAAGGCAAAAATCGCGCGCCTTATTATTTTTTATTGATTATTTATTATTATTGCCTCCTCGGGAAGCGCGTACCAGCGATGGTACGCATTCAATGGTGCTGTTCGACGATGAATAGAAACTAAAATAATCAATAATCGGGTAATAATAAAGAATTAATAAAAATTAATAGATAATAATAGGGCGCGCGATTATTGCCTTATTAAAATAATATTGAGGCCGAAAGTTGCGTATGTTATGATTTCTCATTTTTTGTTATTCATTCATTATTATTGCCTCATCGGGCAGCGCATAACACCGGTGTAGGTGGTACGCCTTCGTTTCTGCTATTGGACAATGAATAAAATTAATATAATCAATCATCAAATAATAATAATGGTAAACATAAGGTGCGATTTTTGCTTTATTAAAATAATATTGAGGCAAAAATCGCGTGCCTTATAATTTTTCGTTTTTTTGTTATTCATTCATCGTTTATGCTATTGGACAATGAATAAAATTAATATAATCAAACATCAAATAATAATAATGGTAAACATAAGGTGCGATTTTTGCCTTATTAAAATAATAAAATATTTATAAATGATAATAATGGCAAAAGTTGTTATCTGATTGAACATTCCGGTTTCTAATTGTCGCAGCCTAATCCTTGTTGTTAATTAAATATAAGAATAAAAAAAATCTTGACTGTTTAAAAGTGCTTATATTAAGTTTATTTGAATAAAGATTATTTCTATTTCTATTTTCTTTTTTTTTATATTTAATAGCTAAAATTATAACCTTAAATTCAGCCAGAATTGAAACAAATGTTTTGCTGTTTTGGCGGTATTCAAGACTTTCCGGCGTAAGTCGAGGTAAGAATACACTAAGATACTAACTCTAATATAAATATTATTGAATATACAGATCAGTATTTAAGAGGTAAAATATAAGAAGAAAGTTTATATGAAAGGTACATATTATTTATAATTTATATACATATGTAATCGTTATAAACCCGTGCGAAGGGAGCATCCATTAATAACGTCATATATATTTTACGATTAAATGATCCGTCATCGTCATTATAATCATCCTTATCCTTGTCACAGTTGGTCACATTTGTGAGACTCCACCCCATAGTGTAACGTCACATATTTAACGATTTTAAATATGGAAATTATTTAATTTACCAATAAACACCACTATCCTAATAATATTTAGATTTTTCAATAAGACGTCACAAAATTCACTCCTCCCACTATTTGTCACTCTTTGTCACACAGTGTCACACTTCGTCAACCCCTTAAAGTGTGACGCAATTTATGGATGATCCCATAGCAGGGGCGTCTCAACTAGTATAATACAATTATAATAAAAATTTACAATTACATAATAATAAAAATAAATCTATAAATACATTTACATAGATAATTAATACATGCAAATGCTTCACATAAAATGACCAACCTCTCGTCGAATGGTAGCAGTGCACTTTCGTATGATATCCTATAAAAATGGTATACAATGAATTTTAAATAAAATGAGTCTAATAATGACTATCAATTGTAAATGTTGCATTGATATTAGTCCATCAATTTGTGTATTACGATGCCTTGCTACAGACAGATCTACTGACAAATGATTTACACATAAATGAGCAAATAGTATATTTTACTGTATGATATAATCTTATCTGTTTACTAAGAGGCCATCCATATAAAACGTCATAGGAATTGAATTAATTTTGAGCCTTGGATGTATTACACTTATTGAAAATGTTAATCATTATTACATAGTATAAAACAAAGTCGCTGTCGCTGTCTGCCCCTATGTATGCTTAAATCTTTAAAACAACGCAACGGATTTTAAAGCAGTTTTTTTAATAGATAGAGCGATTCAAGAGGAAGGTTTATATATAAATATTAGCTGTCCCGGCAAACATTGTTTTGCCTTAAAATAAAAAATAAAAATTAGGGGTGGGTGGTAGGGTGGGTACTACCCCTAACATTTAGGAGGATGAAAAATAGATATTGGCCTCAGACCTACTCAATAGGCTCATAAAATTTCATGAGTCGGTCAAGCCGTTTCGGAGGAGTATGGGAACGAAAACTGTGACACGAGAATTTTATACATAAGATAATACATGTACATCCGTACGAAGGCGGGGCGAGTAGCTAGTTTTACTATAAAAATTCAATTTAACGTTTTACTACTTAGATATTTAAATGTTAACATGTCACGTCATTATACTTTAGACTCCTCCCGTCTTTTGTCACACTATGTCACACTTCGTCAACCTCCTCCCCGTCCACTAGAGTACGACATAATATGACATAAATACAGATGGCCCATTATTTATATCTTAATTAAGAGTTTCTATAATTGAAATGCGAATGAACATAAATATTTTGAAATTATTTCTATACACTACATTATAAACCAATATTTTTTCAACTATAGAAAATAAATAAGGTCTAACTGAAATGGTGGTAAATATGGTCAAAATCAATTAACTATACTGTACGACTAAAATAAATATACCTAAATACAACCAGATTCCAAAAATACTTTGCACTCATCTAGTCTTCGGGCAAATCTGATAATAAAATATAATATTTAAAACAATATATATAGCTTAAAAACGTATATATAATAAAATAGCTGTTCCCGCGACTTCGTCCACGTGGAATTTACCTTTATTTTTCAAAAATAAAATTAGCTTAAAGACCTAAAAATTATTTTGTTCTTCTTAATTTATTCGTTCCATTAGGTACTGATAGGTTCAAACTAATACATTTACATTCTGCATCATCCCTTATTTTATCCCCATGGGGGTTGAATTTATCAAAATCCTATTTAAGCGAATGTCTTCATCATAGTAGCTCCAATCTTTAATTTCAGTTCCATCTGTCGAAAATCTAAGAAGATTTATTATACAAACTTTCAAGCCCTATTTTATCCCTTTAGGGTCCACCCCTAAGGGGATAAAATTAATCAAAATCCTTTCTTAGGGGATGCCTACGTCATAGTAGCTTTATGCATTCAAAGTCTCAGCCCGGTTTAAAATTGACAAAGTTTCGTACAATCTTTCATCCCCTATTTTATCCCCTTGGGGGTAGAATTAATCAAGATCCTTTCTTAGCGAATGCCTACGTCATAACATCTACCTGCATACATGCACTGTATTTCATTGTAAATTGCTGTGCCCAGGGTCTTTCATGCGCTTAGAAGATACTAGCTCAGTCCTCAAACGTTGTTTTGCCATATAAATTAAAATAGTTATTAAAAAGTAGAGGTTGATCGTAGAAGGGTGAAAATTTAGGGTTGTAGGGATTTTCTGTGCCACAATATTTGTCCAAAAAATAAAAACAATGTTAGGGGTGAACCCTTAATATAACTTAACTTAAGAGGTATGAAAAATAGATAGTAGCCGATTCTCAGACCTACTGAATATGCATATAAAATTTCATAAAAATCGGGCAATCCGTTTCGGAGGAGTATGATAACTAACATTGTGACACGAGAAATTATATGTAAGATTTTTATTTAGAATTGTTACTGATCATTGTTCTGGTAGCAATCGTATGTTCTCGCATATCTTATGATCTATCTTTATCACTTTATCAAATGTCAAACTAACTATACACCATACATAGGAATGATGTAATAAGGAGTAACTTAGGCTACTTTTATTTCCGAAAAATAATGTTAAATTCCAAGCCGACGAAGTCGTGGGAACTGCTAGTAGGTCAATAAAATCATGGATTAAAGAATATAATAGTTACTACTATAGACGCAGCCGAAATCGCGGTTAACAATTAGTTCTGTGTAACAACTGAATAAATATTTCCACTTTCTTTCAAAATAACCACCATTTTTGTTAGACCCCACACAATCAACTAAATCAGAACAAACCCTTTAGTTTTCCCTTGTATAAGCTCAGCTTGGGAGGTCAAGGTTTCAGCGAAGAATTGTTCGTTGTAGGCGTCCTTTGGCCCCCTCCATTTCCTACCTCCAGGTAAGACTAGAGGACGCTCTTGTGGCACGATAGGCCCAAACGCTGGTCTAGGCTTCCCAACACGAGGCGTGGGCCTTTGTTTCAACTGCCTAGATTCCTGTTCTTGCCTCATTTCTTCTATAATATCCTATTGAAGAATCCAGGCTACCTTATGTTAGGCACTTTCTTACATATTTTGGAAGAGCAAAAAACTACCAACTCAGCTGATTGTAAGTGGTAAGCGTCGTATATACATGAAGAGGACTACGGATATTATGTTATTTTATGACACCCGTGAGATTCCTGCGTTGTCATTCCAGAGTACTAACATGTTACGCCTCTTACCCTGTAATTTCACTTCCTAATCTGCACTCTACAACCGAAACTGCTTACAAAGCAAGCTGCTTGGCTGAAATAGGTGAGACTGAGGTACACACGCAGAGGAGTTTTAATTGTCTAACTCTGGTAACCTAATTATTTATTTTGTAGGCTTTAAACATTATTTAATAGTAAAGGACTTGGAAGACGTCGTTTTGTTCGGAAAAGCAACGTCAACTACCGGGTCCAAAATGTTTCTCAAGCATTCAGAATCCATTGCAGTATTCACATAAAATTTCATTCACATCGGTTCAGTAATATATAAGGAGTTAAGTTACAAACACATACAGAATAAATTATATATTAAGAAAAGTAACGTCAGCTGCAGGGTCCAAATATACGAGTATTATCATATCATTAAAAAATCCATTGAAATATTAACATAAAATTTCATTCAAATCGGTCCAGTCGTTTATGAGGAGTTAAGACAAATACACGTACAGAAGAATATATATATATACCTATATATACTAAGATTCTCCAATTAGTTCCAGTCCTATTATATAAAAAACAACTACTACATACCTTCTTCTGTTTCTCAATTCTCCTTTGCTCTTCCAACATTTCAGCTTCTTCTTTCCTCAATTTCTCTAACTCTTCCTGCGTTAGACTTGGCTGTTTCATCTCCGGTATTACATTCTCTTTCTCTTCTTGAACTATGTTTTGTTCTTCGACGCTTTCTTCTATGCCGTTCTCGTTTACTTCTTCTATGATAGTTGGTTCGATGTGATTTTCCACTGTGGAAATTAAAAATCAAAGTTTTATAAAGAGAAAATCTTTGTCCTATAGTTTCACGAATTGAGATTCTAAGATAGTCAGTTTTGTTTATTCTACCACTCCATCGGAACGCGGACTAATCACAAGAAGAATTAGCAAGATAAATAATAAATAAATAACCCTGGACAATTAACACAGCGCCATCTAGTCCCACGGTAAGCAGAGCTTGTGTTATGGGTACTAACAACTGATATAAATAAATAAGTAATATATTTTTTTAGTAAATACATATAAATAAATAAAAACCCTGACAATTAACAAACAATTATACTCATGAATACAAATGTTGGCACCATGCGAGGAATCGACAACTGATATAAAAAGTAACCGGTGTGACAATCAACACAGCGCCATCTAGTCCGTCAAAGCAGAGCTTGTGTTATGCTCTTATAAATAAATAAATAACCCATAAGACAATTAACACAGAAAAAAGTATTTGGGTAACAAAATATATCAATCATAGTTATTAGAGCAGACCATCCTACAAGCAGCACCCGTTCACGAGTATGACGGGCGAGAAAACGATCACTGCGCTCTTTTAGTGTCACTGCAGCTCTGATTATTTTAATTAATAATTATTATTACTGATTATCAATACGATTTCTTAATACATCAACTTACCTTCATTTTGCGCTATTACATTTTCAATCAACTGCTGATTAGCCACAGACTCCTGAAATAAATAGAATAGAATAGAAAATCATTTATTCAAATAAAAATAATTTAAGCACTTTTGAATAGTCATAACAATTTTTTTTATCTACCGCTAATTCGGAAAGCTGTCTCAACACAAGAAGAATGAGCAAGAAACTTGCGTGTTGCTCTTTTAAATAATCCTTGTAAGTTTACATTTACAAGTCGAAACGTGTGAATACAAACTACCAACCAGCACTAATTTTTTTGGGTCAAATATAAATATACAATAAGATTAAATCGGTCGTAGTGATAAGAGCAGACCAGTCCCTACAAGCAGTACACGTTCACGAGTATGACGGATGAGCCAGCCATCATTGCGCTCGACCACATTTTAGGAAGCCCAATGACCCGGCCCACCACGCCGCCACATGTCTGGACATTTTAGTGAGCATGACTACTCATTCCACTCGACCACGTCACGGCTACTTAAAATTACTATATGGTAGTTACAGTATTCGCACTTTACATGAGGATGCATGCGGCAATCAATACAAAAGCCGCTACGCTATCATATATCAAGAAAGCAGTATATTATAACGTTGTCCGCAAATAAACTTATTCTTGCTATATATTGCTATCATCTATAAATTCATCTATCCTATAATAGGCTTTTTTATATATGTTTAATATAAAATTTAAAATAATTTATACCTAAAAAAGACGTGACTTTTTTAGGTATAAATTATTTTAAGTCGAGAATAGAAAAGGTTGCAATTTTTTAACAGTACATTAACCGCTGTACCGCAATCGAAAATGGAAAATGAAGTTTGCTATTATGTAAATAGCAATACATTTTCTATTTTTATGTAAATATATAATTGATTTTCTTAGATTTATTTTTATAAAGCTCTATTCATTTTTAGTTTACATAAACGATCTTCCTTATATGGTAGAAAAGATAGCTGACATAGTTCTGTTATATATGTATTCAATCAATAACATATTGATGATATGGACGAAGTAAACGGTTCTCTCTCTTATGTTTTAAAATGGTTTACGGCAAATACCTAATGCTAAAATGCACTAAATGTATCAAATTTTCTCCCCAATGTAAGGCCGGTAGATTCAAAAATCGTATTGGACAATAAATCTATTAATTTTGTTGACGATACTGTATTTCTAGATCACATTAGATTCCAAGTTGCAATGGGGTTTTTACTAAATTGGCGAGTCGACATTAGTTCTGCCGCTTATGCGGTAAGAAGAATCAGACAATTAACATGGAAAAACTTGTCTATTTTAGCTATTTCTAGCATTATGTAAATTTTGTTATGGGGCAAAGCAGCTGATATAAATACAATATTTACTTTACAAAAGAGGGCCATTCGCTTTTATGGTATGGGTTCCAATATATAAGTGTTTTAAGAATCAAATTTCTTAATACATTTATGAAAATATCATCTATGCCAGAAGGAATATAGACAGTTTCAAAAGAGTTAGTGATTGCATAATAAAAGCTTACAACAATAACAAACTGATTTTACCTAAATGTCGTTTGGCTAAAGTTAGTAATTCGTTTTATGGCAATTGCGTAAGGTTTTACAATAAAATACCAGAGTCTGTTATAAATCTGCCAGAAAAAAGATTTAAATGTCAAATAAAACAGTTCCTTTGCAAAAAAGCTTACTATAAAATTGAAGAATTCGTTAACGATAATAATGTTTTTATAGAAAAACTTTAAATCTATGGCACTGACAATATTATCTGATTACATTAATAATGAGTGCGTAGCGACTTATATGTTGATTATCGCATGCCTCTTATTTGTTATACTGTAATTATTCATATGAAAAAAACATCTATTAAAAAGAGCAACACACAAGGCTCATTCTTCTTGTGATGAATCTGCATTCCGAATGAGTGGTAGAATCAAAATATGACTATTCAAAAGTGCTTGTAATGAGTTTATTTGATATATATATTTCTATTTTTATAAATACATCATTATTACATAGTATAAAATAAAGTCGCTGTCGGTGTCTGTCCCTATGTAAGTTTAAATATTTAAAACTACGCAACGGATTTTGAATAGAGTAATTCTAAAGGAAAGTTTATATATATAACTAACTAACCCGCGATATTGTCCGCGTGTAATTTAACTTTATTTTCTAGAATAAAAGAATTTTCAAAAAAAAAAATAGCCTAAGTTACTCCTTAACACCATCTACCTGCCAAAAAAAGTGCCGTCAAAAAAAATCGATTGTACAAAAAGAACTCTCCGGCGGGGAATCGAACCCCGGTCTCCCGCGTGACAGGCGGGGATACTGACCACTATACTACCGAAGATGTGAACATTAACCTCGAAATTACAAATGTCATTTAGATGGATGACTTTTTATCAGTATTGAATTATTTTTATCTCCTAACTAGCTTTTGCCCGCAGCTTCGCTCGCGTTAATTTATCCCCTTAGGGATGAAATTTATCAAAATCCTTTCTTAGGGGATATCTACGTCATAGTAGTTTTATGCATGCAAAGTCTCAGCCCGATCGGTTTAAAATTGACAAACTTTCATCCCCTATTTTATCCCCTTGAGGGTAGAATTAATCAAAATCCTTTCTTAGCGGATGCCTACGTCATAACATCTACCTGCATGCCAAATTTCAGCCCGATCTGTCCAGTGGTTTGGGCTGTGCGTTGATAGATCACTATGTCAGTCACCTTTGAGTTATATATTTTTAGATTATTAACGCCTGCATGTTTGTTAAAGGCAATACTCATATTATGCGTAGCAGATAGTAAGCATATAAATAAATAAATAACCCTGGACAATTAACACAGCGCCATCTAGTCCCACGGTAAGCAGAGCTTGTGTTATGGGTATATACAATGATATAAATAAATAAATAACCCTGGACAATTAACACAGCGCCATCTAGTCCCACGGTAAGCAGAGCTTGTGTTAGTACTAGACAGCTGATATTAATACATAGATATTTATTTTTTCGTAAATACATACATATTATACATAGAAAACACCTAGTCCGATACAAACAATCATACTCATGAATACAAATGATTGTACAGTACGAGGAATGGTACCCAGAACCATCTGATGTAAAGCGGTGTGCTAAATCTATATATCTACATGAAGAAAGAAAGAATTTAAATTAATAAAAGGTATACCTGGATCGTAATCTGGCTTAACTGCTTCGTCACCATTTCCAGGGTCTGCTGGATGACCCCTGGCAACTGGGCCAGTGCTGCTAGTTGAGCCCTCATTTGAGACAACTGCTGGTCCAGAGTAGCATTAGGGTCTACGAAAAATATATATATCATTTTTGACATGTTTTTTGTTTCTATTTTATCACTAGCAGTTCCCGCGACTTCGTCCGCGTTGAATTTAACTTTATCTATACATATAAATAAAATTGGAGTGTCCGTTTGTAATGCATGACTATAAATACTGTACATACACCAAAATAACATTTTTTACAATTTTTGTCTGCCTGTCTGTTTGTTCCGGCTAATCTCTGAAATAGCTGGACTGATTTTGACGGGTCTTTTATTGGCAGGTAGCTGATGTAATAAGAAGTAACTTAGGCTACTTTTATTTTTAAAAAAATAATTTAAATTTCACGCGGACAAAGTCGCGAGTACAGCTAGTGGGTACTAAACTAGATATATAGACACTTAAATACAGACGACCTCTGGAGTCTAGCGGTGTAGCACGATAGGGGGCGAGTGCAGATGGCACTCCAAACCAAAGGAAGGACATATGGAGCGGCTGAAGGACAACTCCCGCCTGACGGATACGACGCCAGTCTGAGGGCACCGCTAGGGTTTCGAATTTCGAGTCTAAGGGCACTAGGGGGTTCAAATCTCGGTTCAGGCCATCGTAGTTCCGTTCCACGTTTGAATGCATTCTAACTAACTAACTAACTAAAGGAAGGACTTATGGAACGGCTGAAGGACAGCTTCCGCCTGACGGATACGTGTATGTTCTCTTAACTTCTATCACCATTCAACTCACCAACAATACTTTGAACGCTGGCTATAAGCTGATTAGCTATTTTGTTCTCCATATCTTCTGCTTTCTGCGTCTCTTCTACCACCGGTTCAGGTTCTGTTATATCTTCTTTTACTTCTGCAATTTCTTCTGATTCGTCTACGACTTCTTCCGGTGGAGCTACGTCTTCGGTTTCAGGTTTTGGTGGTGGTAAGGGAATACCTGAAAATTTTCAAAACTTTAAGTAAATTTTTACTACCCCTTTTTTTTAGTTTTCTAGTTTTTACAACTTCTTTGAGGTGTATGAAATGCATATAAATAAAATTGGAGTGTCTGTTTGTAATATTGAAATAACCGTTTGTACTACATGCATATGAATATAAATACGGTACAGACACCAAAATAACATTTTTTACAAGTGTTGTCTGTCTGTCTGTTGTTCCTGCTAATCTCCGAAATGGCTGGACCGATTTTGACGGGACTTTTGTTGGCAGGTAGCTGATATAATAAGGAGTAACTTAGGCTACTTTCAATTTAGAAAAAATCTCTAATTAACTATTTTGTTCAATTCCACGCGAACGAAGTCGCTGGTACAGCGACTAAATAAATAGTTACCAGTCTCTTCCAGATCCGGAACTTCACTCTCTGGCAGCGGATCTACTGCTTCTAGAAACTCTGGTACTTCTTCAGGCACTAATATTGGTTCTTCTGGCTCTATAGGTGGAGGTGTTGGCTCGTTTAGAGCTCTTTCCTCCCAAGGCAGAGGACCGGTGTCGAAGTTCTGGAGAAAAAAATGGTGTTTGATGGTATGGGGTGATATATATACATATATATCTATGTATGTGATATGTGTTTTATTTTATTTACATGTGAATGTAACGTGATATTATTTCATCGATATCATGGTATAGTAACTTTAATTATTAAAACTTAAATGGTATCTCTTAGCCGCCATCTTGAATTATTGGCGGGAAAATGAGATGCAAGATGGCGACGATCTAAATATTCTTTATTGTGACGCAAAGAATAAACCAAAGATGGAAAAAACATATGGATTACGGTTTTCGAAATACAAGTGCATGAGTAAATAGCTGTATAAATTTGAAATTAGAATTCCTAACCAAGGAGGAGATAATTTGAGATCAAAGTGGCCAGTACGACAAAACGCCAATTTCGTATATAAGGACCTAATACTAACTTAATTTATTAAAGCTTAAATGGTATCTCGTTTGCCGCCATCTTGAATTATTGGCGGGAAAATGAGATGCAAGATGGCGACTGTCTAAATATTCTGTATTGTGTTATGACTAAATACTAAATACAAATAAACATTTTTATTTTTTTATTAGTAGTATAACTATATATGTTTGTAACTAAGCAATCAACCAATCATCATTATCATCACTATGATGATTAATGTCACCATTGATTAAAAAGTATAGCTAAATAACTGCAAAATCAAGTCAATATTTGTTATTCTTTTTAATGCATGTTAAATTAAACAGTAAGTTATAAAATCTACGTGAATGAAGCAGGAGCCAGCGAAATTATGGGTGACTGTATTAAATCTCTACTAACCTTATGGTCAATGAAAAGATATCTATGGTTAATTAGAAAAAAACCGAAATTATGGTATCGAATTTATGATTATATAATGCAAATGACCATCGATAAAATCAATGTGTGTGTAAAAAATAAAAAATGTGTTAAGTATAAAAAAAAATTGTAAACCTCTTTGGTAGATTCTGAAATGTCAGTCCCTCTATTTGTAACATTTACAGAAGACGGAAAATTACTTTTAGAGTTAAGTTTTTTTAGACATCAATCAAATCGTCTCATGACTTTTAGTGTCATGATGACCTGTTATGCCCAATTTACACTCAGCCCGAGTGGGCAGGGAAGTGAGCAGCGCGAGAGTGTAAACACGAGTGGAAACACTTCCCATGCCATTGGCGCTGCCACACGCGCTGCCCCGCGCTCCCGCGATTGTCGGTTTTTGGTGCGCGAGTCAAAGGACTGGCAGCGCGAGTGGCAGCGTGTTTTTACATTCAGCCCTCTCGCTCAGTTGTCGCCCGGCAATATTTCCGGCAGCGCGAGTGGCAGGGGAAGCAGCTGAATGTAAACGTAGCATTATAAAATGTCAATTTATTTTTATATATACATTTTATCTCCACTTTTACAATTATATATAATAATAATAATATAATAATAATACCTCAGGACAATTCACACAGTGCAATCTAATCTCAAGCTAAGCAGAGCTTGTGTTATGGGTACTAGACAACTGATATATATACCAGTATATATATATATTGAAAAAGATGAATTTTGCAAGTGTTTTTTTGAGCTATACTTTTTTAGATTCGAATCGTTTTAAAAATGACAATTTATTTTTATTTATTTATTTTATCTCCACTTTTACAATTATTAATTGGATGATAATATGACGTGATAACGCTCCCAGTTTGATAATTAATAATATTAATAATAGGCCGAGAAAAAAAAAATAATAATCTTTATTTATCTCAAACAACACTAATACAATAATATAATTCAAAACTAATGATTGAGACAAAACAGACAAATGTCAAACGACAGACAATAAACCCTCTCTGCTATTCTGTTATAGCCTTTATCAGTATGAATTGAATTTTGAAAATTTTTTTTAGAGTTATGCTGTTCTGGAGATACATTTCGTCTCTAAAATGCCAATTAAGATAATGCAACTAGCGTAGAAATAGAAATAGAAATCATCTTTATTCAAATAAACTCATTACAAGCACTTTTGAATAGTCATATTTTGATTCTACCACTCATTCGGAATGCAGATTCATCACAAGAAGAATGAGCAAGAAACCTGTGTGTTGCTCTTTTGAATAGATGTTTTTTTTATATAAATAATTACAGTATAACAAGTAAGAGGCATGCGGTAATCAGCATAGAAATCGCTACGCACTCATTATTAGTGTAATCAGATAATATTGTCAGCGCTATGGATTTTAAGTTATTCGTCTTCCAAATAGACTCACTTGAATGAATATTTTGTTTGTTGTATTAATTATATCTAATTGCAATATTATACTTGCATTGCAATTAAAAATAACTGATACAATGTATGCTGGCGACCGACAGCCGAACTCTTTTGAAATTTTTATTATATTTAAATTTATACTTTTGTAGAGTTATTTTTTTCATGTCACGTTATTTGATATACTTCCTTTCAGTTCGCAATTGTATTTAAATATATTTTACTATCATATTATATAAGTGTTTTCATCATTTAACATACAGTCGACCGATCCATTACAATGTAAGTAATATATAAATTGCAGATCCATAAGAAACCTTAATATACCGTTTTTGAAAAACCCCAGGCTGTAGTCTCTATAGAAAACCACGGCAGGTAGTTCACGCTACAATCTAAGTGTACGCGGGAGGAAGCTCTATAAAAATGGGGATGTAAAAATATTAGAGGGATGACATTTCAAAATTGTTTTGTTTAATTATTATACCTGGATACTTATATGTCTAAAATATCAACCTTATATACCGAATGACTTTATATATAAAGAAGAATATTTTGTAAAAGGTCATATACGCTAGCTTTTGCCTGCGGCTTCGCTCGCGTTAATTTATCCCCTTAGGTGTGGAATTTATCAAAATCCTTTCTTAGGGGATGCCTACGTCATACTAGCTTTATGCATGCAAAGTCTCAGCCCGATCGGTTTAAAATTGACAAAGTTTCATACAAACTTTCATCCGCTATTTTATCCCTTGGGGGTAGAATTAATCAAAATCCTTTCTTAGCGGATGCCTACGTCATAACATCTACCTGCATGCCAAATTTCAGCCCAAATTTCAAATTAATTTAGGAATATTTCAGAGTATTTTATCAGAACCTGCATCAAAACAATCGGTATTAATTTATAAATTTGTAGATAAAATTAGGTAAGATTTGTTTTTATAGTAATTTAAAGTTTAGATGTAATGTAATTGATTAAGAAGTCAACACGAAGCTAACATGGTCACTATTGTGATACTGAACTCCTAAATAAATAAAGAAAAAAAAAATAAGCTAATTCATAGTACATGTAACTAATGAATTAGTCACTTGCCAAATATAATAAACAAACAATCAAACCCTCTTCAGGAACCTATAATGTCATATTGTATTTTAGACACAGATATAAAGTCATCCGGTATATATTTATATATAAAAATTACGTGTCACGTTGTTTGTCCGCGATGGACTCCTGAACTACTGAACCGATTGCAAATTTGATTTGCACATTGTGTGCAATTTGATCCAACTTGAAAGATAGGATAGCTTACATCTCAATTTATAGTCGCAATATTGTTTTATTCAAGAACCTTAGTCACAGCAACGCGTGGCCGGATCTGCTAGTATAATATATATATTTATATAATCTATAGTCAGTTTTGAAAACAATAAAAACTAATATAAAAATATATTTTTTAATTATCTATTGACAATTTATTAAATACATCATAAATAACACGATAAAAATTATTTAATTGTGTAATTGTTTAAATTGTTGTATAAATAATAAATAAATTTATATGTTTATTGAAATACAAAGTATTAACGATAATAAATTACGTAAATTTACATATATAAATTTATAAAATTAGTATATAAATATAATTTATATATTTATAATGAATATTTTGATATTTGCAAATAAATAAAATTAAGTATAAAGTATAATATCTTATAATTGTACAATTTGATGTATTATTTAAATTTCATATTTTTGACATTTGTAATATTGTTATGTATTACAATAATTGTAATATTACTTGTATTGTCAGTGTATAACAATCTAAAATTTATTCACTTTGTTTTGTAATTTATTGTTTTATTATTCTGTACTATATTAACAAAAAATTTAGCCATATTTATACTCTACATATATAACATTAATTCACATTTAAATTATTTTTTTATATAATATTTTACTTTCAATTATTTATACAATTACCTCTGGTTTATAATCGGGGGCAACTTTTGGTTTTGGTTGTTTCACTATTTTCACTTTATAAGGTTCCTGAAATAAAAAAATAAACATAATTATGTATTAAAAATTAATCGACATCCAAAAAAATTAAGCGCAAAACTTAGCTAAAGCAATAATAGCTATGATGTTACTGTCTGTATACGGTTTAATATATATTTGTCGAGAGAAATAATTTTGAGAAAATCGCTACTAAATGATATTGCTTAAGTACGATTTTCTCAAAATTATTTTTCGCGACCTATTACTACCTGAGACTAGACTAACTGATATGCATTGTGTGGCAGAAGTGTAATTAAATTAAAAACAATAGCTACAGCAATAATTGCTATAATGTAATGATTGTTATATACAATTTAATATATATTGGTAGTAAGTTGAGATAAATAGTTTTGAGAAAATCGTACTTTAATAGGTTGAGTGCGATTTTCTCAAAATTATTCTTCCCAACTTATTACGGATATTCGCAGAAGTGTAAATTAATTAAAAACAATAACTAAATCTTGACTCATATATCATTTTATTTTCGTTTTGTAATTCATATTATATTTCTCAATATTCGCTGTATATTTAAGTTAAGCTGCAAGTTAACAAACAGACATAGCTGTATGGGCACAGTTCAAGGATAAACAGAACAAAAATAAGTAAAACGAACAAAACAAAATTACAAGTACTACCGTTTTATCTTATTTTATAAGTTGTAAGTATGTTGGTAATATAATATATAATAACTACCATAAACAATCTATATTAATATTATCTTAAAAAATAAATAGCAACAAAAGTGACAGAAGCTTGAAAGCATACAGCTATAATTTAGCAATAATTTAAACCAAAATAGCAATGGCTAAATAAATATAAAAAAAAATAAATACCAAATTTAATTTCACACGATCAGCACTACACTGTTTGACAGATAAAGAATTACTGCAAAACATTTTTCTGTACACCATACTACTCTGCCAAATATTATCTGCCCAATACCTTGAAATCAAGCCAATCAGCTTAAAACTTATGGCATAATTTGATATAAATAATGCACCAATGTCAATAATAGTCAATAATAAGGAAGTAAAGATACATGAAAAATTATTATGACACGATTTGGCGCCAAAAACATATTTGGCAACAGTTAATTGCTCTGTGGTATTACAAAATGGCTGAGGTTATGGCTAGAGATTCAATTGTTTTGTTTTGTAACATTAATATAATAGATTATGCTGCTGATCACTATGTTTATATTATATTCTCTTTATGTACGTATGTAAGTGCCAACCATCTTCTATATACTTCCATGTACATTTTATCTATACATATAAATAAAACTGCAGCGTCTATTTGTAATATTGAAATAACCGTTTTTTACTACATGTACATGAATATAAATACGGTACATACACCAAAATAACATTTTTTACCATTTTTATCTATCTGTTTGTTCTGGCTAATCTCTGAAATGGCTGGACCGATTTTGACGTGACTTTTTTTGGCAGGTAGCTGATGTAATAAGGAGTAACTTAGGCTACTTTTATTTTAGAAAAATTATCCAATTAACTTTTTTGTTAAATTCCATGCGAACGATGTCGCGAGTAGAGCTAGTCATCATATAAGATGAGATTAGATGGACCGTCAGTTTTTTTAGTTATTCAAGTTAAATTAATACCAATTTTGATTATCTTTTGGTTATGTTTTCAGTCAATTATAATTCCAATAATTGTAAATTGTAAGAGGAGGCAATTGTAATGGTAAGAGGAGGTAATTGTAATTGTAAATTGTAAGAACTGGTATCTAAAATACAGCTTTCTACATAGTTTAGGTATCAGAGAACAATGTAAAATGTAAATATTTTTATTATTCATCGTCATCTGGTTCAACCTTATCCCATTTATTTGTGGTCGGTGTAATATACTTCTCTTCCATTCATCCCTGTTCGCAGTCATCTCGTTATTTACTCCCTTTCTTATTATCTTTCACACAGTCCATTCATCTCTTTCTCGCTATTCCTCTGCCTATATAACCATTCATTTTTATTACTATTATAAAAAATAACACTGACCTCTATTTCCGGTTCCTCGGGTGCAACATACGCATAATACCCATATTTGGCCCTCGGCACCGGCCTTTTCGGTTTCTGCAGGAACGTAGTCCATTTCCTCTCCTCTTCTTTCCGTTTGGCCTCCTGTGTCTTGATCAGCTCCTCATTCAAAGCTTTCAGGACTTCGGAATTGTGCAGAGATTCCACGATTGGCTTGATCTTGTTGAAGTCGACGCTGGAATCGTCCTCATTGGTTCGGTGCATGTGTGAGGATATCACTCTTTTCAGGCTGTTTTCAACCATTTTGTGGGAGGAGAAAAGAGAAGTAGGAGAGAAGACCAATTAGTAGTTGTAGATAGAGAATGTATTTATTACTAGTATTTGGGCGACTAGGCATTGCTCAACGTTTGAGTTATTTTAAGAAAATGGATGGACGATTGGGCTCTATTCAATTGTCATTGGGCTCCCTAAAATATGGTCGAGCGCAGTGATGGCTGGCTCATCCGTCATATTCGTGAACGAGTGCTGCTTGTAGGGACTGGTCTGCTCTTATCACTACGACTGATTTAATCTTATTGTGTTTTTATATTTGAGCCTAAATAAATTAGTGCTGGTTGGTAGTTTGTATTCACACGTTTCGATTTGTAAATGTGAACTTACAAGGATTATTTAAAAGAGCAAAGCGCATGTTTCTTGCTTATTCTTCTTGTGATGAGACAGCTTTCCGAATAAGCGGTAGATTTAAAAAAAATGTTGACTATTCAAAAGTGCTCAAATTAAGTTTATTTGAATAAATTATTTTCTATTCTATTCTATTCTGTGAGAAAATGGATACTTGAGGAGTCGACGCTGACGGAGTCTAGTCGTCCTCATTGATTTGTTGCATGTGTGAGGATATCACACTTATAAGCCTGTTTTCAACCATTTTATGGGAGTAGAGTCAGTCAGAGGAGGACCAATTAGTATTTGATAGTGAACATATTTATTACTAGTATCTAAGTAAATGAGCTTTGAATAATGGATGTTTAAATGAATTGAGAAGCAAAACGTAAATTATTTTATTATTATAATCTTAGACGAATATGTTTTTTAACGGGATAACAAAAAGGTTGAAAATGCTCTGATAGTAATTAAGAATCGGAAGGTATTCATCGAAATGTTATAATAAAACCAATGCAACCTAACATAGTGGTTAATGATTTAAGTCTGGTATTTTATTTAGACGGTGGACAATATATTATAAACTGAATTGTGTTAATTAATCTAGTTCCACGGAACATGCATTATGGGTACTAATCTAGTCACAAGCTGCGCAGAACTTGTGTTATCTAGTTCCAAACTGAGCAGAACTTGTGTTATGGGTACTAATCTAGTCCCAAGCTGAGCAGAACTTGTGTTAAGGGTACTAATCTAGTCCCAAGCTGAGCAGAACTTGTGTTATGGGTACTAGACAACATACAGAAAACAGCCAGATGGATACAATCATACTCATGAATACAAATGTTTGCAGCGTACGAAGAATTGAAAACGCGGTGATCGGAAGTTACAAATGCTTGTACCGTGCGAGGAATCGAACCCACAACAATCAAAAGTAAAGCAAACCGTGATATGTGCTAAACCGCTGGCCTATTCTATACATATAAATAAAATTGGAGTGTCTGTTTGTAATATTGAAATAACCGTTTTTTACTGCATGCATATGAATATAAATACGGTACATACACCAAAAAACCACTTTTTACAATTTTTGTCTGTCTGTCTGTCAGTCTGTTTGTTCCGGCTAATCTCTGAAATGGCTGGATCGATTTTGACGGGACTTTATATTTATATTTATTTTAGGAAAATAAAGTTAATTTCCACATTATAAATGTATATCGTCTTACCCCATAACGTGTGCCTCTCTCAGCATCTCTGATTCTCCAGATATCAATTCTGCTATCTTATCCTCAGTCATACCAGGCTTGCCTAATTCTTCTGCAATTATATTATTGAAATTATTTGCATTTTCAACCAGCACTGAAAGTAACTGTATAACCTCAAAAAAAAAAATCTTTTTAACATATAAATTATGACTTCCGGTTATTCGAGAGTAGTGGGGCACAAGATGGCGGCCTATGAACAGTGATACGGAAAAAAGGCATTATACGAGCAGATCGCGAAGGGAACGGACGTGTTGAGCGTGTGTGTCAATATATAGTTAACAATGTTTCTAACGTATACAACGCTATTATAATAGTAATAATAATAATCTCAGGACAATTCACACAGCGCCATCTAGACCCAAGTTAAGCTAGCTAAAGCTTGTGTTATAGGTATTAGATAACTGATACTAATACATAGATATATATTTTTCGTAAATACATATATATTATAAGTAGAAAACACCCAGACTGATACAAACAATCATACTCATGTAAGTGCTGTGCGAGGAATCGAACCCGCGACCATCGGAAGTAAGGCGGTCTGCTAAACCAATACGTCGTATTATATATTGTTTTATAAATGATTATTAATTAAATAAAAATATTGCCCATATATATAAACTAAATTTTATATAAATTTTATTAACTAAATTTTATATAAATTTTACTAAATTTTATTTTTTATACAATATAAACTAAATTTTATAAACGCAACGCAACGCAAAAATTACTGAACGGATTTTTATGAAACTTCAATGTAATATAGCTTATATATCAGAATAGTGCATAGGCTATAAACGTGCAGGTGAAACTGCAGGTACAGTTAGTCATCATCATCATTACATAGTATAAAATAAAGTCGCTGTCGCTGTCTGTCCGTCCCTATATATGTTTAAATCTTTAAAACTACGCAACGGATTTTGTTGCGGTTTTTTTAATACATAGAGTGATTCGAGAATAAGGTTTATATATATAATAATTCATGTACACCATGGACCTGTTTTTGATGAAATTTTATATGTATTTTCAGCTGGTCTGAGAATAGATTTATAACTAATTTTTAAACCTCTAAGAGTTAAGGGTGGATCACCGCAAAATAAATATTTTTTAAATTTTCGATTTTTATTATGTAGCATTAAAAATACATTCAAATTTTTAGTGATTTAGCGATTCAAGAGGAAGGTTTATATATATTTGTAAACGACATTTCTCATTTATATTAGTGCACCGCCAACAATCTTTCTCTGCACCACTCATGGTTGCCTGGTAGATAACGCCGCAAGGTGTTAAGTCCGCCGTGTGTACACATTGTTTTTGTGCATTAAAGTTAAATAAATAAATATATAATACATGTACACTCGTGCGAAGCCGGGGTGTGTAGCTAGTAGGTAATAAATGTCACGCTAGTGATAAAGCGGCTTTACAGCAATATAGCTCAGCATCACAACAGCGTCAAAAATTATTTATCTATCTTCTATCTAAATATATATAACTCAAAGGTGACTGACATAGTGATCTATCAACGCACAGCCCAAACCACTGGACGGATCGGGCTGAAATTTGGCATGCAGGTAGATGTTATGACGTTGGCATCCGCTAAGAAAGGATTTTGATTAATTCTACCTCCAAGGGGATAAATTGGGGATGAAAGTTTGTATGAAACTTTGTCAATTTTAAACCGATCGGGCTGAGACTTTGCACGCATAAAGCTACTATGACGTAGACATCCCTTAAGAAAGGATTTTTGATAAATTCCACCCGTAAGGGGATAAATTAACGCGAGCGAAGCCGCGGGCAAAAGTTAGTAGATTATATATTATACACAGTTAGTTATCTTCTATACATATAAATAAAATTGGAGTGTCTGTTTGTAATATTGAAATAACCTTTTTTTACTACATGCATATGAATATAAATACGGTAGATACATACACCAAAATAACATTTTTTACAATTTTTGTCTGTCTGTCGGTCTGTTTGTTCCGGCTAATCTCTGAAATGGCTGGATCGATTTTGACGGAACTTTTTTTGGCTTGTAGCTGATGTAGTAAGGAGTAACTTAGGCTACTTTTATTTTAGAAAATTGAAGTTAAATTCCACGCGGACGAAGTCACGGGAACAGCTAGTTAAATATAAAATTAACAATTTACTTACTAGCAACTTCTTCGTCCACGACTGCTTCTTCTAATCCATCGACTATACCCTGAACTGTACCCAAAATCTCTCCTGTGGGTGTCATGTACAAACTAGAAGGTTGCTCAGGTTCCTGCTGTTCCTACGAATGGATTTTCTAATTGTTATTGTTATGATAAACAACACGGAAATTGCCCAACTGATGGAAATTTGATCATGGGGCTCCCTAAAATATGAATTGAATAGAAAATCCTTCATTCATCATCATCGCAGCCCGGAAGACGTCCACTGGACATAGGCCTCCCCCAAAGATCTCCACGACGATCGGTCCTGCGCTGCTCGCATCCAATCCTTCATTCAAATAAACTTAATTTAAGCACTTTTGAATAGTCATAATATATTTTTAATCTACCGCTCATGCGGAAAGCTGTCTCATCACAAGAAGAACAAGCAAGAAACTTGTGTGTTGCTCTTTTAAATAATCCTTGTAAGTTCACATTTACAAGTCGAAACGTGTGAATACAAACTACCAACTAGCACTAATTTATTAGGGTCAATGATGGAGCGCAGTGATGGCTGCCTCATCCGTCATATTCGTGACCAAGTGTTACTTAATGGGATTATTTAGTTACTCAACCAGTTGATTGTGTATTTAATATTTTGACTCTAATGAATCAGTGCTTGTTGGTAGTTTGTATTCACACATATCCACTTAAAAATGTAATGTTACAACAATTATTTAAAAGAGCAACACGCAAGTTTCTTGCTCGTTCTTCTTGTGATGAGTTTTTCGAATGAGCGGTAGATTAAAAAACATGACTATTCAAAAGTATTTAAATTTAAGTTGATTTAAATAAAAAACAATCTATTGTATTGATATCCTCATGGAAACTGCTTCTATCCACACTATATTTGATTTATCATAAGTAGCTGTAATAGAGTTATGAGTAAATATATCTTAGTTTAAATTAATACAAAACATAATTCTTCTTACCTCAACCATTTCGAAATGTCTATGTTTCACAATATCTTCTGGATTAAATACAACAGGTCTGTAACCTAGTAATGGATCTACCTTCTCTTCTTCTTTTAAACTATCATTTTCATTATTTAATGCGATTTCATATAATTTCCCATCACCAGATTCTACATTTTGTGTGTTAATTTCAGTGGTTTGACAATTTTCTTTACGTTCAGAAGTGTCTTTACTGAAATCAATAACCGTGTCTGTCTGTTTACTATCAATAATAGAGAAATCTGACACAGCATTGAATTTCTCTTCTAAAGTAGTGCCATTTATTTGAATTTCTGATTGTTCTGTCTGTTTACCATCAATAGTAGAAATATCTGACACAACCTTGAATTTCTCTTCTAAATTACTGCCATTTACTTGAATTTCTGATAGTTCTTCGACTTTTCCGTTGATTCCTTGCTTAGAATTGTTTTCAATTTCAGATTTTGATTGATCATCGTCGACTTCTACGATATCAACGTTATCGACTTTAGAATGCACAGTATCACTTTGTGCATTATTTATTTGTTTATCGATAGTAGGCAACTCAACTTTATAGTCTGTTTCAACTTTGGACTGTTTGAATTCTACGGTGGTTTCTTCTTTTGAGAAGCTCTCGAACGTTCTCGCTGCAGTATATTCAGTTTTTGATTCTTCAACGTCGTCGTCCATGTTACTTGTTTCTATACCAGCTTGCTCTTTATATTCCTCTATGCTTTTAATGGTTTCGTCTATGGCCGATGCTAAAAGGGACGATTTTCTTCCAATTTCCAAAATTTCTTCCTGTATATATTAGTTATTATATTATTATAAAATTAAGATAAGAATGTAAAACATACCTGCTTACTGATAGGCGCTCAATGATTAATATGAAACTAGCTAAAGTAATTGATACTATATCACGCTAGTAGTATGGTTGCCAATTTTAGTTGGCAAATTTCCAGATGAATCAAACAGCATATATTGCAAATATATAAATTGTTATAAATGGAAAAAAACATTCTTTATTAAAGAGAGTAAAGAACACTTAATAATAAATAATGATCATAAAAATACATACCACTTTAAAATTGTCAGCACCTCCCCGTAATCCGGGTTTTGTATAAATCGGAGAAAGGACTTTATCCTCTGGAGGAGTTGGTAATGGAGGGTCATAAATAATGGGAGATTCCAAATTTGTTTCAATATGGGGTACTAACTTCTTTTTAACTATGTTGGGATCTTCATGAAAATCTTCTTTCTTGACAATATTTGGGTCTTCATCCTCTTTTATTGGGATGCCTTTGTTTTTAGGAAGTGGTATTTGGAGTTTAAACACGTATTCATCAGTTAGAGGGGTAGGCGGAACAGTGGATGGTGTGGGAGTATCTATATTATTATTTTCATCACTTTGCACTGATGATTGTCTATCCAAAACAAGTTGTTGAGCTAGATCGGTCCTTAGAGTGAGATTCTGTGATGATAATTTTGATGAAGACGATTTCAGAGATTCTTCTTTAAATGAGGTTTCTTGGTGCTTGATTTCTGATTTATAATTTTCAGATTTCTCCTGTATGAATTCACAAGAACTAGACTCGGATATGTCAATAAATTTGCTTAAAGATACTGCGGTGTCTTGTTTAGATAAGTCAAGTGACTCTTCAATTTGTACCACTTTAGTTTGCGACTTTTGTACAATTTCAGGAGGATTGTCCACCTCTATAACATGTTCTTTCACGACTTTTAATTCAGTAGATTCAACTTGAGGCTCTAACTCTTTGATTACATTTTCAACCTTAATATCGGCAGATACTTCTACATCTAGTGATTGTTCTGTTTTCACTGAAATAAATTCTTCTGCAGGTAATTCAATGCTATTTGCTACGTTATCGTTAACAGAAATATAAGAGGATTCATTAACTATTTCTTCAATTTCAACGTTGTCGTTTTTATTTGCATTAATAACTTCTAATTTTTCGACTACCGACTTAGTTGTACTTTCTTTTTTGACTGACATTTGTTCCGTTCTAATATCGATATTATTTACATCTTTTACACTTTTTATTTCAGTTTGTACTGAATTTTGGTTGTGTATTTTCTGCTGAACCTCTTCTAGACTAGTTTTAGTAACTTCTTGTGCAACCTGAACTTTAGCTTCTTTTATTGTATCTATAGATGAAGTAGCGTGAGCTTCTTCTACTGTAGAATCAGCTACTTCTTCTGTAACTTCTCTGTTTTTCATTGCCACATTTTCGATACTCACAGCTTCATTAGATTCGATAGCAATGTTAACTTCATCAGCACTTTGAACAGATGCAGTTTCAGAAAATTCTGCCAATTCTTCTTCAAAAATTGCATCCTTATTTGTAAAAACGTGAGCTTCGACTATCGCCACATACATTTGTTTCTCTTTCGGCGTAGGAGTGGATACTTGTCTTGACTCATGAGTTACAGACTTCTTTTGTACTGTAGAATGTAATTCACTACTAACGGCTTTAGTACATGTTATTTCAGTTACATTTTGTGCCGAACTGTGAATCTCATTCTTTGCAAGCCATTCCAATGGATCGCTCTCTTTCATTACTTCTTCTTCAACCTGACTACGACTTCTAGATCTTCTTTTACGACGTTCCGTAATTTCAGATTCTTCTATACCAGTTTTATTCTGAAATTCTGATATTACGGCATCCATTTTATTAGTTAGTTCTTCGGATTTTCTATCGCTCAATTGTGCCATTTTAGAACCCGATATATTACGCTTGTCATCTACTTCTATTCTTTGTTGAATATCTTCAATTTTGTTTTCTTCAATTGTTAACTGTCCCAACTCTTTTGCTAATGTTTTTGTAGATTTATTTTCCTCAATGATATATTTCTTTTGTTCTTTTACCATTTTATCCGCAGATATTTCTATTTTTTCATCTTTTTGAGTATTTGTTTCACTAGATATTTTAATATCTTTTTGAGTTTCTCTATGTCTCTCTTCTTCTTGTATTATTTCTTTTTCACATTTTTCATTTTTACTTACCGTTTTAGTAACTTTTTCCTGACTTTCGTTTGAAAATACTGGCTCACTCAGTATAAATCTGGATAAAGCTACCATAACGTCAGTTAAATGAATGAAAAATGTTTTTAATAGCAAATTGTAATGGTAATTTGTATGTATAGTTCCTCTAATATTCGGAATAGTCTGTAAACCAATTGTGTAGGCTCTCTGCTCTGCTAGTAATTTAGAAGTAATATTTTCATCAGTCACTTTTGATCTACTAGTTTTTTGATTAGTTGTTTCAAAAGTAATTGATTCTTGAACATGAGATGACTTATCTTCCCGAAGTGATTTCTTGTTTTGATTATCTTTTTTGTTTGTACTCTCTTCGGAAACTGTTTCCTTGTCGAAAATTGTAGATTTCCTTCTAACACTCCCAGTTTCGATAGTTTCTTCTATTTCTTGCTTAACAGAATGTCGCCTCTCGTCAATGGAATGATCTGTAATATCAGAAGATTTGAACTTTTCGACTATTTTAGCTACTTTTATATCGGCATTGTCTCTTGCATCAATTTCATTGGTAGCCTGTTTAGCAACAATAGTATCTTTGTTTGGTGATACTGAAGTTGTAGAATTTAATTCTATCATATCACTTTTTATACAGACTTCATTAGACTCGATATTAACTTTTTCAGTACTTAATTCAGTATACTCTTTATAAGATTTCGCTTCGACGATTTCTTGATTTTTATTACTTACATCATCTATGAGTTCTACGTCTATTTCTTTCTTTATTTCTTCAGCAACAGTCATTGCCGTTTCAATGCTTTCATTCACAATATTCGTTGCGGTCATTTCAATTTTATCAAGATCGATTTCCTGTTTCATTTTCTTTGTAAATTCTATTTCTTCTTTTGTCATCTGTTGTGTGTCTACTTTATACTCTTCAATTGTTGACTTGCTAACCTGTTCAATATTTTTCGTCGTTACAGTTTCTATAGTCGTTCTTTCTGTTATCTCTTTTACACTGGTCTCTACTACGTCTGTTCGTTTTCTAACTTTATCCTGATCCTTTTTCTTCCAATCTGGATCATATTGTTCAGAAATAGGTAATTTAAACCTGGTTTCAATGACTTCTTCATCTTCACCATGTCTTCCGAACTCATCACTGTAGTTGGGGTTTAATATTATAGGATCCTCTAAATCGGGGATATCACATAAAGGTTCAGTTGAAAAGGGGCGGTAAGGTTTCGGAGTTAAAAGAAAAGGGGAAGCAGTTAGTGATCTGGATTCAGAAAGTTTTGGGGTTCCTAACAAAATGTAGCTAGGATCATTAATATCACCGTAGCCATTGACTTTGTTAGGATTTTGTATGTCATCATACAAGTTTGCATTTGCTTTAAGGTCCGGTTTATCATAGTCGGGGTTGGTTGGGTCGAGGAACTGTTGTATTTGGAATACCTCAGTCGGTTGAGATGGTCGGTCGAAATCTTCCGGGTCTATCGGCTCGTAGATCGGCTCGGTGTCGTCCAGCACCGGATCGTACAGCCCGCTGGAACAGATAATACAAACTCTTTTTAAACCATGAACAGAATAGAAAATCATTTATTCAAATAAACTTAATTTAAGCACTTTTGAACAGTCATAACAATTTGTTTTTTATCTACCACTCGTTTGGAAAGCTGTCTCATCACAAGAAGAACGAGCAAGAAACTTGTCTGTTGCTCTTTTAAATAATCCTTGTAAGTTTACATTTACAAGTCGAAACGTGTGAATACAAACTACCAACCAGCACTAATTTATTTAGGTCAAATATAAATATACAATAAGATTAAATCAGTCGTTGAGCCAGTTCGTTCAGTTCCGATATATGATTAATAATAATATCTCAGGACAATTCACACAGCGACATCTAGTCTCAAATTTAGCAGAGGGTACTAAATTAGGTAGGCCAGTTGCGGCCAACAGCATTAGAGTTATACGAAAAAGTTTTTTTTTTCACCTTTTATTTGTTTCACCGTTTTTTTTAACGTATATATTTTGATTTATTTTAAATCTTAGACTCCCGCTGCGATTTGATACAGGGGAAGTTTTTAATAGAAGTTTTCACTGTAGGGATATATATTATATTATACATATTTTCATAATTACACATATATTATACATAAAATATTATATTAAAGTATATAATAGATTTAATACTAAAATATAAAATATAATCATAAAAAGTTTTCGCTTGTATGTAGTGTACACTTATGTATTGTTAATGTGTTTTAACTTATAAATAATAATTTTAGCCAGGGCATCATAAGAAGCAAGAGTTTCCGGCTTCTTAATGCGGCTCATCCGAAAAAGATTAAAAAAAAACGGCCAAGTCAGCTGGCAACTGGCTCAGTTGAGTAGAACTGGTAACTCGTCAAGGATTGAAAGAGATTAGGGGTAGTAAGGATCCCTGGAAACCACCATGATAACTTCTTGGTGAATTTACTACGGCGACCTGACCTCATGCACATCTTATCATCCTCCACTGGTGCCCCGCCAGCGTATACCGTTAGCACAGGCGAGTGCACCATTACATTATCAACATAAGAAAAAAAAAACGGCTTTACCAAGACGAATTATAGATACAAATCCTTGTTTTATTATTATAGTTGCGAATTAAACTGTTTTTTTTTTATAAAATAAGGTTAAGGCTGTACGACTACAAAAGACGCCATCTTTAAAAAAAATAATATAACTGTATACATACAACACTATTATAGTCATTCCAATAGAATCTGTGAATCACTCGCGCTAGAATCGACACTTCACTTATATTTTCCCCACTCATAGTCACTAAACTTAAAACACTTCCAACTAAAGAAACTAATTATAATTATTTATAAGCTATCGACATACTAATAATAACCATTGATTTCACGTATCTAATTGTCTATGATATGTTTTCTAACTAATCTGTGGTAATTTTAATTAATGGCGGGAAATATATACGATGCGAAAAAATGTTATAATTAAATTCTAAATATTTATATATAATTTTTAGATTCCAGTTGTTTAACACTTTTTACATCAATACTTTCAGCAGCAAATATAATTAATTTAGTTAAAATTAATTCGCGCCAAAATACTACGGTTATATTTTTTTAACGCACAACAAACCAGATGAGAGGCTAAGAGCAAAAGTGTAGTCTACTTTAAATTTCTTAGAACGCGTAAGATTTTATACATAATTGAAAAACACGATATTTCGTTGCGGCACTTTAAGGGTATTTAATACTAGTATTTATTTTCAGTCTTATTAACCTAGTTAAGATTTTGTCAGCGTGCCATCGTTTATAAAACTATAATAAGACTAAGGTCACGAGGTTTGTACGTACTATATTGTTTTACGTTATTGAACTAAATACCGATTTTGGAATTCGAGTTGTCGAGTTCGATGCTCACGATCGATCCCCCATCCAATTCAAACGGGGATCGAAATTACGACGGCCTGAGCCGAGGTTCGAACCCCTAGTGGTGCCCTCAGACTAAAGTCGTATCCATCAGGCAGGAGCTGGCCTTCAGCCGCTCCATAAGTCCTTCCTTTGGTTTGGAGTGCCATCTGCACTCGCCCCTATCGTCCGGTGAAGCTGTAAAGGCCAGCTGCGGCCAACAGCATTAGAGTAGTCCGAAAAAAAAATCAAAATATTATTCATCTGGTGGACTAGCGGTTTAGCACACCGCTTTACTTCCTATGGTCGCGGGTACGATTCCCTGTACGGTGCAAACATTTGTATTCATGAGTATGATTGTTTGTATCGGTCTGGGTGTTTTTTATGTATAATATGTATGTATTTACAAAAAAAAATACAATTTATAAAAAAATATAACTAATCATTTCTCTGTCACATAACACAAGCTTGCCCTGGGACTAGATGGCGCTGTGTTAATTTTCCAGAGTTATTATTATTATTAACCGTGAATTGAAAACACGATCCGTTCATACTGTATATTGTATATATACATATAATATATTGTATTGAACCACACTGCAACTCAATTTGAGTTACAATATCCGATGTATTAAAATAAAATATATGGTCGCCATCCAAATCTACATTCTTTTATAGTATAATTTGAAGTTTATTTCACACTAGCTGTACTCGCGACTTCGTTCGCGTAGAATTTAACAAAAAAATTAATAAGAGATTTTTTCAAAAATAAAAGTAATCTAAGTTACTCCTTATTACATGACCTACCTGCCAGTAAAAGTCCCTCCAAAATCAGTCCAGCCATTACAGAGGTTAGCCGTAACAAACAGACAGACAAACTGACAAAAATTGTAAAAAATGTTATTATGGTGTATGTACCGTATTTATATTCATATGCATGTATTAAAAAACGGTTATTTCAATATTACAAACAGACACTCCAATTTTATTTACATGTATAGATGTAACCATACAACTCAATTTATGTTACAATATCCGATGTATTAATGTACTATGACGATGTATTAAAAAAATATATATGGATGTCATCCAAATCTACAGCTACACTCCTTCTATAGTATAATTTGAAGTTTATTCAACATGAATTTGTAAAAGAAACAAGTAAAGTAAAGTCTAAAGTAAAAAAAAAAGTAAAGTCTTATTTTTGTAATAGATTTAAAAAATAACATAATATATAACAATAATAGTTAAAATTATTTAGGTATATCGCATATAATCGCGTTATCTAACTGTAAAATCTTGTTTCTACATAAATTATTAGGATTACAAACAATTTTGTATCAATTGTAAGCTCTCAAAATACTTGAAAACGAATAACAAACGAAATATAGTCATATCATCATCAACATTCATAATCATCACCAAATTTTAACTTCCTACTGAATATAAGCACAGATAAGATAATATATATAAGTCACTGAAATCATATACTCTCTCATTCAATTCTTGAGGTTTCTATTCAAAGCCACAAAACTAAACGCATATAAAAAATTATAAATCATAAATATAACCGAATTAAAAAATAAAATTCCATGTAAAAAAGTAAGTATTCCTCCCACAGATTAAAAATAAAAACGTCAATTTAAATTTATAAAAATAAAATCTTCCAAAAAGTTGACTACACACAAATAAGTAATTAAAATAAAAAAAAAATACTTAAAAAAAGTAGCGCTTACTTATTTTTATAGACCAGGTAAAACTTCATTTCGACCGACCACAGACAACAGCAAATAAATAAATAAATATCGTTTCAAACTGTCGTTTTCGTTACCGATTCGCAAATGAAAAAAAAAGCGAATGTTTATTTGTCATCGCCGTTTATTTGACCCCCAAAAAGGTCACGCATTATTTAATTAATCTGTACTCAATATTGGCGCGAACTTGTAACATATTGATGCCTGTCATGATCTAATTTTGTATCTGTGCGTTTATTTTAAGGAACACGATTTCATAGGGATCATTGTTTTATTCTATACTAGCTTTTGCCCGCGGCTTAGCTCGCGTTAATTTATCCCCTTAGAGGTGGAATATATCAAAATCCTTTCTTAGCGGATGCCTACGTCATAGTAGCTGCATGCAAAGTCTCAGCCCGATCCGTCCAGTGGTTTGGGCTGTGCGTTGATAGATCACTATGTCAGTCACCTTTGAGTTATATATATATTTAGATAGATTGTCTTTCTCGAAATGTTCCTAAGTAGTAATTTTTCATTTGTTTTTATTTAAATTGTATACAATTCTCTGGAGATGAGCGCAAATAACTGCATCACAGTTTTTAACACACCACGGGCGCATCCAGCTTTGGCGCCAGGAGGTCACATAATCGTGGTCAAGTCATGAACTTATAATTTAATTTTGATAACAATAACATTAACAAGTAAAAAATTCATTAATGTACGTAATTACTGTACTTAAAAATATTAATAAAATCTGTATGGTGACAAAATATATAAATAAAATCATTATGTTCAATTAGTGGTCCACCTAAGTCTTAGGCTTAGGGGGGGCTTGACCCCCATGTGGGGTCATGGGTATCACCCTGGATCCGCCGTTACTAGCTACTCGCTCCGGCTTCACCCGGGTGTACATGTATTATACATATAAACCTTCCTCATGAATCACTCTATCTATTAATAAAAACCGCTTCAAAATCCGTTGCGTAGTTTTAAAGATTTAAGCGTACATAGCGTCGGAGAGACAGCGACAGCGACTTTGTTTTATACTATGTAGTGATGTAGATGTTTATGTTTAACATGTTATTGTTGTAATTTTGTTTTAGTTTGAATAAATTCTTTAATTCATGCATAAGTTGCGACAAGAATTTTATCTTTTCTTTCTTCCTTGAGTATTTTAATTTTTTTGATCCTCTTATATCTTTTTTATCTTCTTATATCTTTTAAATTACGCAACGCATTTTAATACAGTTTTTAACAATAGATAGAGTGATACAAGAGGAAGGTTTATATGTAGGGTTGCCAGTTTTTTTTCAGCCGGCAAAAAAATACGAGAATTTAGTTTTTTCCCGGGACAAATTATCAAAACATAAATTGTGTAATGTAGATCGATCGATTAAAGAATAAAAAATAGGAGCACGATTCGAATACGGGACAGAGACAGTCCCGCCGGGACATTTTAAACTAATCCTAAAATACGGGACGTCCCGGGAAATACGGGACGTCTGGCAACGCTACTTTTTTTTGTGGATGATAATGGAATGGTGCACCCGCCTGCGCTAACGGTTTACGCTGGCGGGGCACCAGTGGAGGATGATAAGATGAATATGAAGTCAGATCAGTTAGCCCAACGTGACAAATTCACCGGGAATTTATCACGATAGTTTCCAGGGGGACCGCGTGGAGGTAGACATGACATGATACATTGCTAGCAATGGGGTCAAGAGTCCACATTACTAACAATCCCCTGCCCCCTGGCAACGCTATTTATAAGTATAATACATGTGTGTTATACATATATATAGTATAATATATACGTGTTATAGTATAGAATAAGCTGAGAAATTCAATGGTTTGCAATGCATCCGTGCGAAGCTAGGACAGGTCACTAGTATCTGATGTACATATCTATTATGAGATAAAAATAATTCAATACTGATAAAAAGTCATCCATCTAAATGACATTTGTAATTTCGACATTAATCTTCACATCTTCGGTAGTATAGTGGTCAGTATCCCCGCCTGTCACGCGGGAGACCGGGGTTCGATTCCCCGCCGGAGAGTTCTTTTTGCGGAATATTCTTTTTTAATTATACCAGTGGCACTCAATGAGGAAGTAGCCATTATTATTGCTAAAAGTTGCATATAGATGGCGTGATTGGTATCGATGGAATTCTTCATAGTTTTGCAAACGTTTTAAAAAACAAAACTGTGTTTTCAAAAATGTTTAATCAATTTTTAAAAAGTTATATATACATGTTAAAATGAAATAATGCGTTTAGAAAAGTAATTTTCATATATTTACTCATTTTGTTATTTTCCAGTACTTAATTACACTTTAATCAGTGCTAATATGGGGCTCAATGTTTTCAAAATGCTTTCATAGATGGCATTGTCGTCATTTGTATCGGCCTAATTAAATGTCTTTTTTATATTTTCCAATAATAAGCACTTAATATATTATTATTGTAAATTAAACATATAAAATTTTTTTAAGTAAATTAAAAATAGCCGAACAAGCAAGTAATACTATTTCCAATAATACTTATGTATGAAGTGTTGTCATATTAAAAATAAATACATGTATTATCGATTTTTTTGAATAATCGATAACAGGATTTTATTACAGCGCATTATTCGATGATGCTTTTAATGAGTCGTTGTGAACAGTAAATTTTCATTATTATGTATTATAGCAGTGTTCCGTTTCAAAGAACGGAATATAGTAGTACATTATTAGTGTCGTTGGTTATTTACATTTGTACTGAATAATCGATTACATAATAATTTAAAATATAGAGTACGAATCGTAGCTGTCTTCGAATACTGGCAACTGGTAAGATTGAAATAGTATTTAAAAAAAAGAGAGAAATCGACCCTAACTCGAATACCATAAAGTTGATTTTCCTTTCTCATTAATATATCATAGCAGTTTGTTTTTAACTTGCGTATGACTCTGTGGTATGATGTTTAACGTGTATTGTTATTGTACGGTGCATACATTTCAAAAATTATATTTTAATGTAGGTACATACATTTCTTTCATACATTTCATACATGTCAAAAATTATCTTTTAATGTAGGTACACACATTTCATGCATGTCAAAAATTATCTTTTAATGTAGGTACATACATTTCATTCATACATTTCATACATTTCAAAAATGAACTTTTTATGTAGGTACATACATTTCTTTCATACATCTCATACATTTAAAAAATTATATTTTAATGTAGGTACATACATTTCATACATGTCAAAAATTATCTTCTAATGTAGGTACATACATACATTTCTTTCATACATTTCAAAAATGAACTTTTTATGTAGGTACATACATTTCATACATGTCAAAAATTATCTTTTAATATAGGTACATACATTTCTTTCATACATTTCATACATGTCAAAAATTATCTTTTAATGTAGGTACATACATTTCTTTCATACATTTCAAAAATGAACTTTTTATGTAGGTACATACATTTCTTTCATACATCTCATACATTTAAAAAATTATATTTTAATGTAGGTACATACATTTCATACATGTCAAAAATTATCTTCTAATGTAGGTACATACATACATTTCTTTCATACATTTCATACATTTCAAAAATGAACTTTTTATGTAGGTACATACATTTCATACATGTCAAAAATTATCTTTTAATGTAGGTACATACATTACTTTCATACATTTAAAAAATTATATTTTAATGTAGGTACTACATTTCTTTCATACATTTCATACATGTCAAAAATTATCTTTTAATGTAGGTACACACATTTCTTTCATACATTTCATACATGTCAAAAATTATCTTTTAATGTAGGTACATACATTTCTTTCATACATTTCATACAAAAATGAACTTTTTATGTAGGTACATACATTTCATACATGTCAAAAATTATCTTCTAATGTAGGTACGTACATTTCTTTCATACATTTCAAAAATGAACTTTTTATGTAGGTACATACATTTCTTTCATACATCTCATACATTTCAAAAATTATATTTTAATGTAGGTACATACATTTCTTTCATACATTTCAAAAATTATCTTTTAATGTAGGTACATAACACCCCATGTCAGACCCCTTGTATTTGGAAGAAACTTAAAAATAATGCCAAAAATATTAGATGAATATATTTTTAATACGAATATTGTTTTATTTTTGTTCATCAACTTTATCCCTCACTAACAATACTAGTAGTAGTACATAACCTGGTTTATACCGCTAAAGATATTGAAAGATATACGAGTAATTCAGAATGTTATCAAGTTCAAAATAAGCACACATTACTTGCTTAGATAACAGAGTAATATTACTCGTAATAAAAACATTTGTAACACCCATATGTATACTACGTATGTATAGTAAGTACTTACGCTGCGGCGCCGTGAGACTCGTCTACCTCATCTATTAACCAATAGGAGCGCGCCTCTCGTGTTTAACGGACGATATAGTAGTAAGGCAATGAGTGTCCCAGTGACATCATTATAATATTTTCTCGTTAAATTTTATTGTAATATACACAATTTCGCACTAAATAACGTGTTACCCCGTTACACATTTCTAATAATGAAAAACCTAGACCAACCCTGTTCACTTAATCTTACAAGATCTGACTTTAAAAATTACGATATCCTCATATAGCCTTTCATTTCCCCTTTCAATACTTTTTCGCATTAAAAAGTAGCCTTTCTCAGGGTCTACATTATCTGTCTACCAAATTTCAATTAAATCAGTTCAGTAGTTTTGGCGTGAAAGCTAGACAAACAGACAGACTGAGTTACTTTAGCATTTATAATATTTGTAAGAATATCGCTATTAAAAATAGGGGTTGGTGAAAGACGGGTGAAAATTTAGGCGTGTATGTATTTTCAATGTAATATTATAAATAAATAAAAAATTGTCCATAATACAAAAAAATATTTTTCGGGGTAGGCCACCCCTATGACTTAGGGGTATAAAAAATAGATAACAACCCTACCTCAGACCTGGCAAGTATACATATCAAATTTCATCAAAATGTGGGAGAAATATGGCAACTAACACTGTGATACAAAATTTATATATAAGATA